ATTTTCCACATACTGTACATTACTGTTTCTCCTCGCCTTTCTGACTTTCTGAAACGTGTCGATTTTCGAGGTGTGCTCTGATTGGCCAGCTATCCAGTGCGTTGTGATTGGCCGAATACCTCAAGCGTGTGACGGAAATGTTACACCCCTTAACATACTGTGATGCCGTGTCCCGGCCGGAGCGATGAGACAAAAACATTAAAACCCATTATAAACGAGGCATTTGTTGCATCCAGTGGGGATATAATTATGGATTATAATGACTTATCATGTCTTTTTACGCTTTGCGTTGCATTGTGCCACGTAAACATAAAACCATGTCTGCATTTGTGATCGGAGAAATGACAAACAACAAGTGCTACTCTACACTGCCCAAAAAAACTCGAGGTTGAATCGTCAGTGGCAAATTTTTTTAATATAAAAAACTTACTTACAGTCTGTGGGTAAGAACAACCGGCATTGTAGTCTACTCTACCAGGATCAGGGAACGGTCCTCCATAAAATGCGCTGCACACACTGAATATTTGGGTTGAACTGTTCTGGAACAGTGTTGTAAATACAACTTAACCACTGATTTCTAGTCGTGTCCTCTTTTGGAAGGCCAAACAAAGTAGTTTCGCTTTCACAACGAAACAGCGTCACACACCGTGGCCTTGAGTGAGCGGAGGCCTGAGGCCTAAAGTGAGCTGCGACCTAGAGTATGCGGAGGCCGGCTTGAAGGAGCAGAGGCGGGAGGGCTTGAGATTGGCATGGCCGGCGGATTCGACGAAGGAGCGGCCGGCGGGCTTGCGGCAACCACATGTGACGACCCCAGGCTGGACTCCGCTTTGCCCACGGTGAAAGCCGATCCGGCAATCGACAGCGTGAAGTTGATGTATTTCCTCAGCAACCAATCGTCCTCTTTTGGAAGGCCAACGAAACATAGTGCCTTCACGACATGGCGGCAACAACAATATTACACGCGAGAATAAAAGTTACGCTTTCTTTCTTTGCGTGAACATTAGGGTGGCGTTATGCAAATCTTCCCACATCGTGATGTAGACATGTGGGGGCATGTTAGAACGAGCCGTTTTAGGTAGGTGTGGTTGACTCTTAACTTTTATAAAGAATATCTCTTTGGGTTTGAGACTTTAGTCTTTGCAACTTTACAGATCTTCTTTATGCACCAAGAGCTTGTAACACTTCAAAGAGAAAGGAAAAAATGAAATCGCATCATATGACCCCTTTAATAGGTATATGAACTTGCCCCAATTGTGTGAATTGACTAAAGCCATGAAATCATATTAGTAATGAACTCACCCATTAGACCAGAGGGTAACTGGCTGCAGTAGCGATGCCACATTGGTTGCTCTTGTTCCTGGACATCAGGATGTAGCCCTGTTCACCCCATCCCACACCCCAGCTAAAATCACAGCAGTTTTGAGTTTTTTTAGTTGTTTTGTCTCTGTTCAGTTCTGTACTATTTTTATTATTATTATTATTATTATTCATTATTGTTTCATCAACTTGTGCTTTTTTCTTAACCTGTTCTTGACGATCCAATAGTCCTCTCCACTTGAACTTCCATAACCAACAGCCAGAACGCCATGATCTAAGTCAGAGCTGCTGCACTCAGGCTCATCGTAGACGCCTAGAAACATGGTTTATTAAATTAGCCAGCAAATTTCTATTTAAAAGCTGAATAAATAATGAATAAAAATTTCACATTTAAAACCAAGTGATAACATTTACCTGATTCATAGAGCTGAAAGCTGCTGTGTCCAGCATCGATGGCAACAGATACAGGGCCGATTGTGGCAACAGCCTCCTGTAGTGCACTTTCATCCCCACTGGTGACATCAACATATCCTGTGCAGGTGGCACCCACAGTGCTCGGGTTAAAACGGCACAGATCATCCTGCGAGGAGAATATTGTTGATTAAAACTGTTTTAAAAAATCAGCTGAATTATTTATTATTCAAACATTATTATGACTCACAATGGCCTCATACGAGTAGGACTCCTCTGTATCCAGACCCCCATTGGCTTCAATGTACAGGAAGGCCTGGTCCATTAGTCCTCCATTACAGCCCATATTCCCAAAAGAACCAGAGCAGTCCACCAGCTGCTGCTCACTCAGGGACACCAGTTTTCCTGTCTTCTTGAATGTTTGACCCTCTAGGGCACCAGTCTGAGAGACAAAAGAGGGATGAATAAAGCAGAAAGGTAAGACCACTGAATTGGACTGTGTATGGACTCTATAAGCACTAGCCATATAAGATCTGTTTGTAAAGGCAAAAATGTGGGTCTTACTGTACTGAAGGCCCAGCATGATCCACACTGCCCCTGGTCTTTAACACCAGTCACGTAGCCCTTGTCCCTCCAGTCCATGGAACTGGGCAGCACAACAGCATCCTTCAGCCGGAAGAATGTAGCACCACCACGGGCCTTAGTGTTATTCATGGAGCCCAGGCATCCATGGAACGCCACCTGTCTGTATTCCTCATTGCTCTGAGAGACGATAGAAGGAATATGATGAGGTTTAATGTAAAGCAAAATAAATTAATTGAATTAGATCATTAATTTTATGTACATGAATTTGTTATATAATTTTATAGTAATTTTAAAAATAATATAATTGAAAAAGCATTAAAAATACACTACACATTTATCATCAATTTTCTCAATTATTACGATGAAAATGTTAATGTCCTGTTTTGTGTGTATGTGTGCGTTTAAATTTTTTACCATGTCAGCAAAGTATGTCATGCCAAGCCTGTAGGATTTGATGCCCTGATCTGCCATCATGTTGTGGACCAAAACCAGTTTGCGATTGGACAACCAGGTCTGCTTATGCTGAGATTCTTCCTCCACAGAACGGTAGATCTTACCTGATGTTTGACAGAAAATAAATATCTTAATAAATACATTTATAACACAGTGAATTTGATTATAGTTATTTGTGATGTTTAAAAAATAATTTCAAAAAAATTTCACTATAACGTTTCACATGTTTAAAAAAAACATGAGTGTCAAATAATTTAACAAACAATTTTGTATTTTTTTAAACATCAATAAAAAAAATTCAAGAATCTTCTGAATTTGTTTAATGACTTTTGTTTTGATTCAACAGGAGGCATATGTGACCCTGTACCACAAAACCAGTCATAAGGGTCAAGTTTTTGAAATTGAGATTTATACATCATCTGAAAGCTGGATAAATAGTCAAAAATGAAGTTCATGGAACATGCTTAATTCTTAAATACTTAATATCCTAATGATTTTTGGCATAAAAGAAAAATCAGTAATTTTGACCCATACAATGTATTGTCGGCTATTGCTACAAATATACCCGTGCTACTTATGACTGGTTTTGTGCTCCAGGGTCACATATACCCTGGAAAGTTACTCTGTGTCAAGTGCTGAGTTAGGTTAAGTAATTTCTCTTATACGCTGTCGTTAAAAAGTTTGGGATCAGTAAGATTTTTGTTGTTTTTAAATAAGGTTCTTCTGCTCATCAAGAATGATAAAAAATACAGAAAAAACAGTAATATTCTATTTTAATATACTTTAAAATATAATTTATTCCTGCGATCATTACTCCAGTCTTCATTGTCACATGATCCTTCAGAAATCATTCTAATACGCTCATTTATTATCAATGTTGGAATCCGTTTTTGCTGCTTAATAATTTTTTGGAACCTGTGATACTTTTCTCAGGATGTTTTTGATGAATAAAAAGTTTAAAAGAACAGCATTTATGCACTAGAATAAAAGCCTGAAGTGAGAGAGGACACAGTGAACGAGGTGTGAGATTCATCGAAACGCTTCTGTCTTTGATTATTGTCTGAAAGGCTTCACTGTCTGTTTTGTCTAGTTTGTTCATTCGGTCAGTAAAGAGAACCTGATGACTCTCTTTCCCCAAGATTTTAAAGATATAGATAAAACTAAGAAGCAGACTCTCTTACCAAATTTCATTTTCCATGCATGAAACTCCATGTCCTCCAGAGAAAGACTGGCAGCACTGGCAACAGCCAGAAAAGCAGCGGCAACAACCAAAAACCTCATCCTGCACCGAGAAAGAGAAGACACAAGTGTGAGGTCGGACAAGTGGTGCCCAAGATAAAAAAGAACTGAGGTATCTAACGTCACTGTTTCATTTCTTCTGTCACACGCCCACACATTTTTCCTCTAACAGTATTTTTTTTTTTAAATCTGGTTAAACCTGAGTACTTACTATTGATGGTATGTAGGATATACATTTCCTTGATGTCAGTCACCCGGCCTGTCTGTGTTTACCAGAATGAAGATCTGAGTTTATATAGGGGTTTTCATGAATGAACACACTCTATCTTTGAGGATGCACAATAGCCATTAATAATAGCAATCAATAAATAATGAATGTATGCAGTAATCCTTATGAAGTCATATCACAGGGTCTATTTTAAAACTGTTTATTTCCATAAAACTGCATCTGTTTCTTAAAAACGAACCAGGCTGGATAGACTTTCTTAAGACAAACACCCTCCCAGGACCTCAAGCTTTTCTAAACTGTAGTACTGTTTTACTTTCATTGTATTTTTATGAATTCTATCAGTCACTGACAGATGGGAAGGAACAGAGGCCCATGTGACCTTCTGTCTCTTAAAAGTAAAAACGTATGCATGTGACCCAAATTTAGCAGATGCATCTCACAACGGTGACTTGGTTTCATGATTTTGAAAAAAGGCTTGTGATTTGGATTCCTGACCATTTAAAGAACTGTTCAGTTAAAACAAGCCAAACACTTGGTTATCTGCTTGGTATTTTTGTTCTTCAAAAAAAATTTATTTTAGTGACTTTTAACAGATGAAGACTTGGTTGCATGATTGTTATGGGAAAAGGTCTAATGTTTTGGATTCCTGATGATTTGAAAGAGCTGTCTAGTTAAAACGAGCCAAACTGAGCATTGTTCTGATTGTGAATTATGAAGAGGAAATATAGGAAAAGACCAAACAACCACAAGGATGAGAGTTTGCCGATAAAATATACACCACATAAATGTTCATTTTTATTCTGTACTTCATACTAACATAGTGTTTTCCTAGTCAGGGGATTTGAAAATATAAACAACAGCTGAAGTTAGTTTGTTCAAATTTTTCAAATTGTAATTAAACTAAAAATATGATTATGAGGTATTATTGTAGAATCAGTCAAATGGTCCACATTTCCTTTTCTCCCTTCCGCTCCAGGTCCATGTTCATCTTTCCTGCAGAACATAAGAAAATAATTTTATTCTTAATTGCAAAGTAAACAATGAAATGTATTTATTAAATTTAAACCTATGTTTTAAATGTTTATATAAGCCTTTTTACAGGCAAATGAACTTGCCCCAATTATGTGAATTGATTAAAGCCATTAAATCATATTAGTAATGAACTCACCCATTAGACCAGAGGGTAACTGGCTGCAGTAGCGATACCACATTGGTTGCTCTTGTTCCTGGACATCAGGATGTAGCCCTTGTCACCCCAATCCAGACCCCAGCTAAAATCACAGCAGTTTTGAATGTTTAGATTTTGGTTTTTCTCTTCGTTCAGCTGTGTACTATTATTGTTTCATCAACTGCTTTTTTCTTAACCTGTTCTTGACGATCCAATAGTCCTCTCCACTTGAACTTCCATAACCAACAGCCAGAACGCCATGATCTAAGTCAGAGCTGCTGCACTCAGGCTCACTGTAGATACCTAGAAACAGGATTTATTAAATTAGACAACAAATTTCTAATTCAAACCTGAATAAATAATGAATAAAATGTCACATGTAAAACCTAACACCTGAAAAACCAAGTGATAACATTTACCTGATTCATAGAGCTGAAAGCTGCTGTGTCCAGCATCGATGGCAACAGATACAGGGCCGATTGTGGCAACAGCCTCCTGTAGTGCACTTTCATCCCCACTGGTGACATCAACATATCCTGTGCAGGTGGCACCCACAGTGCTCGGGTTAAAACGACACTGATCATCCTGCATGGAGTAAATTGATGAGCAAAAATGATTAAAATCATTTTTTTTAAAACAACAACAACAAGCTGAAGCATTACGGTCAGAATCAAACATTATTATGACTCACAATGGCCTCATATGGGTAGGACTCCTCTGTATCTAGACCCCCATTGGCTTCAATGTACTGGAAGGCCTGGTCCATTAGTCCTCCACCACAGCCCATGTTCCCAAAAGAACCAGAGCAGTCCACCAGCTGCTGCTCACTCAGGGACACCAGTTTTCCTGTCTTCTTGAATGTCTGACCCTCCAGGGCACCAGTCTGAGAGACAAAAGAGGGATGAATAAATGCAAAAAGGTTAAGAATGCTGACCTGGTCTATATGGACTCTATAAACATTTGCCACAAGATCTGTTTGTAAACGTGTCTTTGATTATTGTCTGAAAGGCTTCACTGTCTGTTTTGTCTAGTTTGTTCATTCGGTCAGTAAAGAGAACCTGATGACTCTCTTTCCCCAAGATTTTAAAGATATAGATAAAACTAAGAAGCAGACTCTCTTACCAAATTTCATTTTCCATGCAATTAGCCAGCAAATTTCTAATTAAAAGCTGAATAAATAATGAATAAAAATGTCACATTTAAAATCTAACACCTAAAAAACAGGTGATGACACTTACCTGATTCATAGAGCTGAAAGCTGCTGTGTCCAGCATCGATGGCAACAGATACAGGGCCGATTGTGGCAACAGCCTCCTGTAGTGCACTTTCATCCCCACTGGTGACATCAACATATCCTGTGCAGGTGGCACCCACAGTGCTCGGGTTAAAACGACACTGATCATCCTGCATGGAGTAAATTGATGAGCAAAAATGATTAAAATCATTTTTTTTAAAACAACAACAACAAGCTGAAGCATTACGGTCAGAATCAAACATTATTATGACTCACAATGGCCTCATATGGGTAGGACTCCTCTGTATCTAGACCCCCATTGGCTTCAATGTACTGGAAGGCCTGGTCCATTAGTCCTCCACCACAGCCCATGTTCCCAAAAGAACCAGAGCAGTCCACCAGCTGCTGCTCACTCAGGGACACCAGTTTTCCTGTCTTCTTGAATGTCTGACCCTCCAGGGCACCAGTCTGAGAGACAAAAGAGGGATGAATAAATGCAAAAAGGTTAAGAATGCTGACCTGGTCTATATGGACTCTATAAACATTTGCCACAAGATCTGTTTGTAAACGTAAAAATGTGGGTCTTACTGTACTGAAGGCCCAGCATGATCCACACTGCCCCTGGTCTTTAACACCAGTCACGTAGCCCTTGTCCCTCCAGTCCATGGAACTGGGCAGCACAACAGCATCCTTCAGCCGGAAGAATGTAGCACCACCACGGGCCTTAGTGTTATTCATGGAGCCCAGGCATCCATGGAACGCCACCTGTCTGTATTCCTCATTGCTCTGAGAGTGTGTGTGTGTTGTGTGTGTGTGTGTGTGTGCATGCGTGCGTGTGCGCGTTTTTGTGACATTTGAGGACACAAATTTGTATAATGACATGGGTATGGCATAGGTTTTACAAGGAGAAGGGGACTTATGAGGACATTACCCCATGTCCCCATTTTTCAAAACGCTTATAAATCATACAGAGTGAGTTTTTTTGAGAAAGTAAAAATGCACAAAGTTTCCTGTAAGGGGTAGGTTTAGGTGTAGGGCAATAGCACATACAGTTTGTACAGTATAAAAACCATTATGCCTATGGAATGTCCCCACAATTCATAAAAACAACTATTTGACTATATTTTTTAAAAATATTCTAAAAAAAATTATACAATAAAGAATATTAAAAATACACTACACATTCATCCTCAATTTTCTCACTTATTATGATGATTATTATAATGACCTGTTTGTGTGTGTGTGTGTGTGTGTGTGTGTGTGTGTGTGTGTGTGTGTGTATGTGTTGTGTGTTTTAATTTTTTACCATGTCAGCAAAGTATGTCATGCCAAGCCTGTAGGATTTGATGCCCTGATCTGCCATCATGTTGTGGACCAAAACCAGTTTGCGATTGGACAACCAGGTCTGCTTACGCTGAGATTCTTCCTCCACAGAACGGTAGATCTTACCTGATACACACAAGCACAGCTGATGATGCATTGTGATTTAAACAGTGTTAACTGCAAAAGTTTTGCTAGTTAAAATGTTTTAACAGACATTCGTAAAAATCAATCAATCAATAAATCAATCAATATAATATTGAATGTGTTAAAATTATTAAATAAATTAAATGTGTGTAGTAAATAATCTAAGTAATGCAAATATTTGCAAGTGATATTTGATAGAAAATAAATATCTTAAAATGAATTTGATTATAGTCATCTAAAATATAATTTCACATTTTTCATTATATAGTTTCATATGTTTAAAAGCAAAGCACGAAAAAATTATTTGACTGTCAAATAATTCAACAAACAATTCTGTCTTTTTTAAACATCAATTAAAAAATGTCAAGCATCTTCTGAATTTGTTTAATGATTTTTGTTCCAATTCAACTAGAGGCCTATTTTCACATTGCATGAGGAACCTGTTGAACTACCGTTATATCTCTAACTCTGGAAAGTTACTCTGTGTCAAATGTTGAGCTAGGTTAAGTCATTTCTCATATACAGTAGAATAAAAGCCTGAAGTGAGAGAGAACACAGTGAACGAGGTGTGAGATTCATCGAAACGCTTCTGTCTTTGATTATTGTCTGAAAGGCTTCACTGTCTGTTTTGTCTAGTTTGTTCATTCAGTCAGTAAAGAGAACCTGATGACTCTCTTTCCCCAAGATTTTAAAGATATAGATAAAACTAAGAAGCAGACTCTCTTACCAAATTTCATTTTCCATGCATGAAACTCCATGTCCTCCAGAGAAAGACTGGCAGCACTGGCAACAGCCAGAAAAGCAGCGGCAACAACCAAAAACCTCATCCTGCACCGAGAAAGAGAAGACACAAGTGTGAGGTCGGACAAGTGGTGCCCAAGATAAAACAGAACTGAGGTATCTAACGTCACTGTTTCATTTCTTCTGCAATACACCCCCACATTTTCCCTCAAACAGTATTTATTTAAATCTGGTTAAACCTGAGTACTTACTTGTGATTGTATGTAGGATATACGTTTCCTTGATATCAGTCACCTGGCCTGTCTGTGTTTACCAGAATGAAGATCTGAGTTTATATAGGAGTTTTTAGTGTCTCTGATCAGGTGCCTGTCATAAAGCATAAAAAAACTAGTGATGCTGAGTGCAAAAGGAAAAAAAAGGGGAAATTACGTAACAGCAATTGTATGTGGCTTGTAAGAGTGTAATGCTGGGGAACACGCTGTGTGGAAGGAAGTTTCCTGTAAACATCAACTGGAGATTATTTTCTTCTTTCTTTCATCTTTTATAGCGTATTTGTTTGATTGTGTCTCAGCAGTATATGAGTTGTGATTTTAATTCAATTATTCAAGGCAATGTCAGCAGTCATACCAATGACAACACTGCAAAACATGAGTCATAAATGTTTTGATGAAGTTGCAAATTGTCCTGCTCTTCCAGTAACAAACTGCATGTGACACATTCTTTCAGAACTAGTATACCTGTGTGTATATGTGTCACTGAAAAACATGCTTTTCTAGCTTAGATCTTTTGTCTTGTTTCCAGCCAAAATATCAAAAAATTCTTGTTTTCAGAAAAAACAAGTCAAAATTAAGTGAGTTTTTGCTTGAAACAAGTAAAATAATCTGCCAATGGGGTAAGCAAAATAATCTTGTTTTCTGTTTGAAATAAATCAAAGAAAATCCTTCTTGGTTTAAGCATTTTTAGATATTTTGGCTGGAAACAAGACAAAAGATCTAAGCTAGAAAAGCATTTTTTGCAGTGTATGTCTAAATATGTGCTTGTGTGTCTTAGCTATATGGCCTATGAGGAAACATTTGGACTTAATCTGAAAAAAAAAAACATTCTTGTTTGTAACAAAAATTATATAAATAAAGTACATTTTATATCAACTGTAGAGAAAATGTACAGGTAATGGCATAATTTTAAACTAATATATAATTTCCAAACATGTTGAAAAAATGGAATAATGTCACAGAGAGGTCTTCTAAAGGAGGTTCATTTGCAGTAATGACAGGCTTATTGTACATTGTCCAGTGACAACAAAAATCTAAGCTATTGCCCTTTTAATAAGCGTGTGAGTGAATTTGTGTAGGTTAGTATGGGCTTGTGCATGCGCCCCTGTGCCATTTTTTGTATCTCAGATAAAAATGTAGGCCTATACATTTGGATAAAAGAATCTGTCATATGAAAATATGTGACTGAGTACTGTTGCATGTCAGCAATACATGAGCTGATCAAACAAACACATGAGGAAATGTTGCATGACTGTCAATGTATAGGCCTACAATATAAACAATGTTTATGTTAACCCAAGACCACAAAGCAAAAGTTCATCAAAATTCATTTGAAAAAGCTCCAGGCAAAGATCACCAACTTCCCTGTCATCACATTCTAATGTATAATATTTCACATGATTTTTACTACACTGTGATAATGATTTCAGGGTGTTTTTATTAACTCATTCTCTCTTCTCTGCCTGTAAGCATTGTGATTAATATAGCATTTGATTTTCTGTTCATGTGAAATACCATTTGAGTGGGAAGATTCAGATGACTCTGAATCACATAGCTTTTCTGATTTCTTTGAAAGGTTTTACCCAACCCCTGACATCCTGTTTACCTCAGTCTCACAAAGAATTTGCCTCATTAACCTATCCTTGCTCATTCTGTATCACCTGCCCTTGTTTTTATGAGTCTCTTTTTCCCTTCACATTGTCACATAATATATTTTTGCCACTCTCTCAGATGATCATGAATCCTGTGAACTATGGACTCAAGGCCAACTTAAAGATCAAATTAATGTGTCTCTCTGAGCTGTATTTGCACTGTCATGATAGAGGTAAAAGATCAAGTGACATGGCACAGAAGCGTTCCCCACATTTGAAGAACAGATGTGGTTTTAGGGTAACATGCAGCAGTTCTCTATAGGATGACTGGACTCCTTTGTATTGAAGTGGACAAAAGTACAGAGCTCATCTTGTTTTTTTGCACGTGTTTTGTGGTGGTTTCAAATGTATAGATGTAGGCATTTGTGTGTTCTCATGTGTTAGTGCTTAGTGTACATTTTATGTATAGGTGCTTGTTTGTGCACAAACATGTTTTCTTCCTCATTATTGTCTATCATAATGAAGCCTAATGCTCGTTGACCAAGACTTCATTTATGTGATCAAAATACAGTAAAAAAGAAACTGTTCTATTTGAAAATGTTTTCAATTGTAATGTATTCATGTGGTGACAAAGCTGAGTTCTTAGCAGCCATTACTCCAGTTTTCACTGCCACTCGAATCTTCATAAATCATTCTAATATGCTGATTTTAATATCCTGAAATTAAACTGACTGTATAGTTGTGCATAGTTTGTATCATAATAATTTTGCATAATGTATCATAATAACGTTGCTGATCATAATAATGTTAATGCTAATAATAATATATTTCACGGTTTGATTTCTGTTTATTTCTGTACAATTTTGGTACTGTACGACCACCACTTAATTTTTTATGTAAAATCTGGGCAAAATCAGTTGAAAATGACTGATCTTAACCACACTAGGTACATTTAAGCCACCAGATGACATAAAAAACACTTGCTTGCTGTATTTCTGATCACATGTTTGAAGTATTTAATTTTTATAACTTGTGTCAAGTGACTGACTGTATCTGTGTCCTAAAAACTTGGACAGACAGATGACCAGACAATATCTGCCCACAAAAATATTTTCACTTTTTACCATCTAACACATGATTGCCATATAACAACAATATAGCTGCTTAACCATGTGACTTTGTCCGATTTTAATGTTTTTCATAGATTACAATACTTGTAACATACAAATCAGACTTTTTTTACACCATTTTCCACGAAGTTTGGAAAAACAATTACAATATATGACCAGCAGAGGCCGTTTTTGTTTCAGTTCATGTAAGTGTGAAGTGAAACACCTGACAAAACTTTAAAGGTCACATACCATTTAATGTGCTTTCTGAATAATGGCTCACACTTGAACTGATTATGAAATGACTCAATGTCTTCCTTATTCTGTAAAAGTGCAGTAATGTATCGCTTGAAAAACAGAATAACTCACTGCTTTGTTCTTGTTCTGGCCTATTTATTTAAGGAACTTTGTGGCATGCATTTTTGCTACATATATATTCATAATCAACTTTCTGCTTTATCTTAAAACATAAATATAAATAGTCCCTGTTGACAGTCAGAGATTTTGTACCAGCTGGCTGTCATGTTTTACAATTTTGGCAGGGGGGTCTTAGAGGAACCAACTATCCATGCACCCGTTTATAATTTCATGACCAGACAAGAGTGAGTTTGTGACCTACAGCATCAGTGATAAGCCTGGAACATCTTTCCTTCCAGAGGAACATAAACACAGTCTGATCAGTATCAAATCTGGGCTACAGCAGCCCATAATTACACAAGACACAAAAGTAAATCAAGGCTTTCTGTCAGTGACCTTCCTGTCTGTGACTAACATGTTAGCTGGAAATGTTTCTTTGGTTCACGCTCTAGAAATCTGGATTTCACAAAGACAAATCAGATTTTTAACCTACAACCCAATTTTGAAATATCTAACAAGTATTCTTTTTTTAATATTTCATAACCATAGACTTAAAAAAAAAAAAAGGAGTAATAGGCCATTACAAGAACAAGGCAACATATTTAAATGCATGTTTAATATGGAAATACAAACACTTTTAGTCTTAACAGAACATTCATTCATTTTTAATTCAATAAAGTAGACTCACACATAAAAAAAATACACCAGAAATGACTTTCCCCTTATAATAACATTTATGGAACCTTGCCAATTCTCTGAAGTGGTTCATTAACCTGGAAAATCACATCATTTTATTTCACTCTATGATAAGGTATGGTTTATTAATTCTTTAAATTCTCTCAGATTTATTGTAGCTGTTTCACACCATGGCACGTTTTCCAAGAAAAATTAAAAATTAACAGCACTGGCCGAAAGTGTATTTTAATTGAAACACATAAATACTAATGTATATATAAATAAAAATACTGTACAAGGGAAGAAAAATAATGCAACAAAACAATACAAACACATTGCTGCCATCCTTATTCAATCAATATAAACAGCCAGATTTTTAGAAAATGTGTCATTCTATATACTGCACCATGCAATGTTTCTTACATCTCACCGTCCATACAGAGAACCGTAGAGGACAAGCTGGATTTTTACACCACAATAAATTAGTTTAAAAAAGATCAAAAAGAGAAAAACAGATCAAAATAACAGAAAGACCATGTCGTCTAGCACCCTCGCCTCCCCTAGGCGTTCTCTCCTTGCCCTATGTTCATATCTCCATGGTGCACACAAATAGTCCTGGAGCGTGTTCAGAGCGTGTGCAGAGCTGGTGAAGAGAGCCGCTGTGCGTGGGGGCTAAAGAAACAACAGTTCAGCTACAATGGGCCAAACAGCAGGCTTTAATTGGATGGTCGATGAAGGGCTTCTCATTAAAACCAGTAGAGCTCCTTCCCTTTCTTGTGGTGCTGGAGACCTGCGGTGCAAAGCAGACATGAACACAATGGCTGAACACAAGGAGGAACCATTCACACACACAATCTCCATGGTGGCTGCAAACTCTCTATATAATAAGCACCAACAACTGAAGCCAAACAATCCATTTCCTGTCATTAACCTGGAGGGTGTGTGGCTCGTTTGCTTTAAACATAATTCATGCACTTTTCTAAACAGAACATTGCGCGAACTTGATCAGTAATTTGCTGGTAAACTCTCAGTTAGTTTGGAAAATGAAGTTCTGTATAGCACACATGAAAGCTTAATGGCTTCATTTTACAAACTGAGCGTTTACCAGCAATATACTGATGAAGTTTACACAATGTTCAGTTTTAAAAAAGCTTATAATTTATGCTCCCAGAAAAATAACTAAAATGCTAGAGCTAAAAAAAAATAAGAATAATTTTGTGAGCAGTTTTATGCAGTTTTACATATTATATTTTGTTTTTATATTTTTACGTATTATGTGTTATGTGTTATATTTTTGTGTCACAGATCTTGAGACACATCTCTGGGATTGTAAGTGTATGGATCTTTCTACAAAACAGGTCTGTGTCCATTTTATACGTGTGTAAAAATGTGGTTTGAGCTGATTCTGACTTTTACTGTTTATTAATATACACATTTTTGATGTTGTGTTGCCAGGTTATACAGCAACCTTATAATTTTTCCATTTTTAAAGTCACAACCTTTTCTATTAATCAACATAAATCACTAACATAATCATTATTTTAAGAAGTGCACTCTACAGTTAAATGCTCACATATTAGATTCTCCTCTTTTGTCACATTATCTTATATTTTGTTACTTCATTTTAGTAGGAGGCGATTTTCAGACGTCAACCCTGTTGCCAAGATTTTGTTTAATAAACAGATGATAAATAACTCAGTGGATATTTGTAGAAATATCAGCATTAGATTCTGTTTAAAGAAGCACCCTGTAGTTTAATTACCTTGAGTACAAGGCTTACAGTGTCAAATTAAACCATAAACTCATTTTTTTAAACATCACCTTCATTAAATATGAAAAGCACATATTTAATAAAAATATTCATTACAGTAACCTCAGTACTTGCATTTTATTTCTCTACATTAGATCACCTTACCTGGTTCCATGTTGAGAGCCAGACTCTGTGCCACTTCCCCAGGCGGAAGCAGCCCTGGCCATGTTGGGGTGGGTTCCAGCTTTCCCACATCATAATGCCCGGACAGCGTCGGCAGATGAGGCGGCCGGACGGCAGGCATCAGTAGGGGTCCGAAGTGGGCATCCAGCCCAGGAGGGGTGTACAGTTCGTGTAAGGGCCGTGGAGGGGGATAGGGCTGGCTCTGAGAGTAGCTCCAGGACTCTGATGGGTGCGGGTGAGCGTGTGTGTGAGGCAGACCCGGGTGCAGGACCTGGGCGTAGGGGTCCATAGCATAAGTGGGAGCACCTGTGGGATCACAGTGGAGTCGGCTGGGTGGAGAGGGATAGTTACTGTCCCAGAAAGATGGAGGGAAACTGCGCCGACTGGTTGAGGATGAAGCATCTAAAGGGGAGAGAAAAGAATGAGAATGACAAAGAGAAACAGAAAGCAAAGGGTGTAATGTGATGTTTGCTTAGAGAAAAACTACTGTAAATTTTTATATATTTTCATTTTGGATTGTAAATATTGGCAGATTTGTAAGTCAGTGGGATAATTACACAAGCGACAACGGTCTACCAGTTCTAACACCATGGCGAAAGTTCGAGCAAAGCATGCTAACTGTTCTGTCTTTGGCCTTAGAGGAGACAAGAGAGCAGTATACTGCATATCATTACTGTATATCACCTGCTGCCACACAGATCTAAAATAAGCATGCAATTTCTTTCCCAGCTGTTTACCTTCACAGACATAACCGACTGTTTTTGTAACGCATGTGTGCTTTTAACAAACTTGTGTGTATTTGACAGTTTAAGCGCAATACGACATGAAAGAGAACTTAGTTTAGTAACGTTACTCACATGCCGTGTGACAGCCACTTTCTGTGTGTGTGCTTTGGATGTGTGGGCTATAGGGTTTAAAACGTATGATTTCAGCACGATAGACATGATAATCAAAACCAAACAGATGTTTTTTGGCAGAGTTTCTGAGGTATGAGCTGTAAAGGCACAGGCCTTTTCTTGAAAAGGGGGTTGGGAGCAGTAGCTCATTTGCATTTAAAGATACATGCACGAAAATGGTGTGTTTCTGCTTCCACTCAAAATAGGCATTTTCAAAATTATATAATAAATTATCCATGGGGTATTTTGAGCTGAAACTATGCAGACACATTCTGGGGACACCTGAGACTTAGATTACATCTTGTAAAAAGGGGGCATAATAGGTCTCCTTTAAGAATTATTTAAGCATCTGTTCAGGTTTGTCTCACACAACAAAATCTCAGTTACACAGTATTGCCATTGCTCTGTTTCACAAACGAAAATTGTTCCAAACAAAGCCACAGCAGAACCTTTGCAAGGAACACAGAGTGGTGTTTTGTTCAGGTTGAGCGAACAATTCAATGACTCATTCATTACAAAGACAGTCACTTGTTTTGTTCCTAAATGAATCAGCCACTTTGAACAAACTGGTTGAATGAATGATTCAATTATTCACTAATTAAGACAGGGATTTGCTGCCAACTACTGGTGGAATTAGTTTCATGCTTAAAAGTATAGGCAATCCATAATTTTTTTTCTACCTTTTTTCATTAATTATTTAATATTTATTTTGTTGTTGTTTTTGTTTTTTTGTTTTTTTATTGTTTTTACAAATAAAAATTAAATGAAAAGTGTATTTCCGTCACTGCTACTGTTGCTATGGTGACCTCCTCAGGAGAATATGACCCCTGTTCACGAGCATCTCTCTTCTGTGTGCTCTGACTAACTTGTAATCTCAAGTTTGTGGTTACTGGAATGTTGTCTGAACACTGTTGAAACATTGAAACTTCCTTTGGAGTGTTCAAGCTTTAATTAGAGGGGTCTGACCCCTCAAACATTTGCTGCCAACTACTGGTGGAATTAGTTTCATGCTTAAAAGTATAGGCAATCCATAATTTTTTTCTTCATTTTTTCATTAATTATTTAATATTTATTTTGTTGTTGTTTTTGTTTTTTTGTTTTTTTTATTGTTTTTACAAATAAAAATTAAATGAAAAGTGTATTTCCGTCACTGCTACTGTTGCTATGGTGACCTCCTCAGGAGAATATGACCCCTGTTTACGAGCATCTCTCTTCTGTGTGCTCTGACTAACTTGTAATCTCAAGTTTGTGGTTACTGGAATGTTGTCTGAACACTGTTGAAACATTGAAACTTCCTTTGGAGTGTTCAAGCTTTAATTAGAGGGGTCTGACCCCTCAAATGCACATACTTGTATACATTCAGAGTAAAGTCAACTATATAATGATTTTAACTATATAATTTTTTATAAGTTTTAACTGAAAGACTGAACAGTGTTCTCAGGACAGTCAGATCAAGACAAGTTACCACCTGTGTTGTGAATGTTATTTCATATATATTTATGCAATTTATCAGTCACAATATTTGTTGACCACACTTGTTTGATATTATAGTACATTACCTTCGACATGTTTACTATTTCATTAAAATAATTGTTGTTGTTTCCTATTTTTTACTGTTTAAATGTAGCTGAAAAGTCCATGTAAACTGTTCAATGTCAGGTTCCACTTAGGCAACTTACACCATGTAATGTGACAACATGCCCCACGCATGAACTGCGTCTTTTTTTAACTGTATTTCCGTGCAATGATGGAAATGTTCGACTGCTTTAGATGGCCGAGAATGAAAGATTTGTGCTGAAATGTGATTTTCACTGGAATGTGACAACTTGCCCCGCTCTAACATAGGCTACCTCACACACAGAGCAAACAAACACAATCGTGATATAAACATTAAAAAGTGTAAAAATGCACACTTGCGTTTAATTATAGTTTAAGTATGCATTTCCCATAGCTACGCATTGCGCGGAAACCTGCTTACCGGTATAGTGCTGATGAACGCTGAAGCTTTGTGCGCGTACGGTGCGTAATGACCATAAGCCGGGTACATAACATCCAGACAACTCATGATAACCCGCTCGCTCCTCTCGACTCGCAGGCAGCGGAACTGTCGCGCTCTGTTTCATGTGCAGAAGCAGAGAAACGGGTAAGAAAAGTCAAGTAGGACAGTGCAACATCTCGGTGTCGGTAAGCAGAGCGCGCGGTGACTGATCGGTGGTCCACGGTGACGCACACCTGACAGCTGCGCTCGCGGGACTGTGGTTTGGTTTATACCACAGAATGCGCCCAAGACAGAGCTTTACATGTCGACCCCTCCCACCCCACACCAAGACCCCCGACCACCCTCGAAAATGTAACTGCGTGATCCACACAATGCAGAGCAGTGCATAGAGTTTGGGCTATTGGTTTGATTGACAGACCACATTCATCTATCATGACTGCTGTCTAAAGCAATTAGGTGATGGAATTGTAAACCACCTTTTTGGAATAAATATATGCAATATAAATACTTTGCATAAATACTTAGCACAACTTTAAGGCATGGCTGGTTGTAACTCTAAATCAGTTTACATTTTAAGTATTTTATATATAGTATTTCATATCAATAATAAAGCTATAATATAATATTATTTATATATTTAAAATATACTTAATTTAAACATTTATATTAATCATAAATTCCAAAATTTCCAAAAGGCTAAAAGAAAAAAAATGTTGAAAAAATAATTTAAAAATGTGATACATCAATGTAGTAAACTACAGTTAACTTGCTGTGCTGAAGAACATTGGCTGATTCTCCGGGTGGCACAGGGGTGTGAGGTAGTCTGGACACGCAATCCATACCAGCACTTGAGCAAAGAGATTCCTCTCAAATCTAGCTCACATTATCACCTTCACTTAAACAAACACGAGGTCAGTCAAACACACACCTATTAATGTTGTCTCTGTCCCACTAGTTTACATTAATATTCCAAATCCAAACTGTTAATGCTCTCTTCAAGAAGGAACCTCCTCTAGATCGTGCTCTGTTAAATGTGTCAGATATTCTCCCAGATATTAATATTGGACCTTGAGTGCCCGGAGTTTTCTGACAGACATTCTAGAAACGTTAGGAGAATCGTGTGGAATATTTGCAGAATTTCATCCAGCGGTGTTAAACAGAGAGGAATGTCTCTGAAGTGTTTGCTCAGGGTCGACCGAGGAGATGTGTGCCAGAACTCTATGTCAGCTTCAATTGACCAATAAACTCTCTGTCTAATATAACTGGTTTCAGACCAACTGGTTCTGCAATGTAAAGTGTCAGAAATATCAGAGCTTTTAAATAATATGTTATTTCATTACTTTTCAATTAACTTTGGCAAACATGCCAAAACAAAAAATATTATATATAAAAAAAATAATAATAATGATTAAAAAAAAATTTTTTTTTTAATAAATAAATTATATATATAGTAGCAATAGCAAAAAAATGGGTCAAAATTATAGATTTTTCTTTTATGCCAAAAATCATTAGGATATTAAGTAAAGATCATGTTCCATGAAGATATTTTGTAAATTTCCTACCGTAAATATATCAAAACTTTATTTTTGAGTAGTAATATGCATTGCTAAGAACTTCATTTGGACAACTTTAAAGGTGATTTTCTCAGTATTTAGATTTTTTTGCACCCTCAGATTCCAGATTTTCAATAGTTATATCTCGACCAAATATCGACCTATCCTAACAAACCATACATCAATGGAAAGCTTGAAATGTTAAAGTTTATTCAGATTTCAGATGATGTATAAATCTCAATTTCACCCAAAAATGAAAATTAGCCTATAAATTACTCACCCTCAAGTCATCCTAGGTGTATATGACTTTCTTCTTTCAGACAAATCCAGTCGGAGTTATATTAAAAATTGTCTTTGATCTTTTAAGCTGTTTAATGCCACTCAGCGGGTGTTGCATGCATCAGTCCAAAAGCAGTTCAATAAAAAGTGCCCATCCATAAAAAAAAAGTGTCTCACCCGGGGGGTGAACAAAGGCCTCCTGTAGCGAATCGATGCGTTTTTGTAAGAAAAATATCCATATTCTGTATGAGTTCAGGGTTGCGCATGCGCTGGTGAGACTCGTGAAAACCAACATATGTTTACAGGAGCAAAGGAAGCAAAGTTTCCTTACTTTAGCAAAGGAAAAGCAGTCTCCTCTTGGCTTATATCGAAATCCTCCAACATTCTTCTTTATAAATCCTCGTTTTGCACTTCTAATAAGTGACTGGTGTTTTGTTTTGATCTCTCCCCTGCGCTTCTGCATTCATCCCTTCTGAGTGGCGCATGCGCAAAGCTGACCTCATACGTCATCCTCCCGGAGCTGCTTCCAGTGTACAACAGTGAGCGCAAGCTACATTAAAGTGATTATTAAGTTTTGAATATGGATATTTTTCTTACAAAAACGCATCGATTTGCTACAGAAGGCCTTTGTTCACCCCCCGGAGCCGTGTTACACTCTCGCATCCCTAATATATATATATATATATATATATATATATATATATATACATATACATACAGTATATGATATCTTGTTTTATAGGCTTACTTCTGTACTACTACTACTAATACTACTACTACTGAAAATATAAAAGTAGCCTTATACAATGAGATTAAGCATTATTTAAGCAGTTCCTATATGTATAATCACATAAAGTAAGTACAGGATTTTCACTGTGCCTTATCAGTACTAAAACATAAAAAAATACCTTTCGGAACTTCATGCAAATGCAATATAATGATTTGTTTTAACACCCAATATAGTTGCACAATAATGGAGTACATTTACGGGAATGAGAGACACGGACACTTGAGACAAAGTTGGATCAAGTTCGGCACTGCTGTCATGAGTACATGCTTAACTATTCCCTGCTGGAGGTCAGGAGGTCTGGGACCATTAACCTCTCATTTTACATACATTTAAAAGACTTGTTATCTGAATGCGTTCTGGAGTCATGGACATGCTGTTGTCAATCTAATGTCTGTCTCGGCTGAAGCACACTGTGAAACTTTACTCACATTGGTGTGTTTTTTTTGGGATACAGGGGGAATGATGCAATGCCACAGGGAAAGGGGTTGAGAGCTTCAGCGTGACGGACAGCTGCTCCTGACGACACGCAGCACAGAGTTTAAAACAGACTCTGCACAATGACCACATGTAGGAGGAACCATTTATATTAATGGCCATGACCGATTGCTCTCTTCTTTCAGAGTCTTCCCAGCAACACATATCCTTCCTTTTTGGAACAGTAAGTCATTTGTCATTACTAAGAAAACAGATTGTATGACTATATGCGTATGCTTGTGATGTCTAGCCCAGTCTGTATCACAATCTCTGAGCCCCAGCGTATGACCCCTGATGTAGAGCTCTGAGTGACCAAACTAGGGAACAGAGGAGAAGGACAGATGGCCCCCTCCTTCCCTTCACTCTCCTTCGAGCTCCATTTCTCTTTATTCCTGTTTCATTCACTGTCCAGGCCCCTCTTCCTAAGACTGTGTGTTTGTGTGTGTCTGTATTTGTGAACGAGCAGAAAATAAACGCTGATTACATCATTGTTTGGTTTAGACCCTTCATGCTAGACCAAATCTCTCTCAGTCGTAAAACTGAACTGACAACTCAGTCAGGTGATCACAGGGGTTAAAATACCATGTAACATACTGCAGATAGTTTCGTGTTCTGCGACATTTTGACAAGTTGACGAGGAAAATTCACATTCAGATTCTTGTACAGCTTGTTTCATTAGTTATGAAATACTTTAAGGAATTTGACATAATAAGGTAACATGCTATCCTAAAAAAATCTAAAATAATTTCAAATCAAATATTTATATAAATTTGATAATTATTTAAAATGTTTTTATACTTTTAAAATGTAATACTCTTTACATTACACTTTCATATATATTTTAACCGTAAAATCTTGATGTTGTTTTAAAAACAATTAATGTTACAAATCTTATCATTTGCATTGACACAAGTGTTGTTTTAGTATCATTGAGATACTGTTATAGTTTTTTATATATTTTCTTTTCTGTTTTTCATTTTAAAATTAGTTAAAGCTTAGCAATTTTGTTGTGTCTTTTATCATTTAAAATATTTTTAAATATGTCTATATAGTGTTTATTAATTTTTTTGTTTCAGTTTTAGTTTTAGTTAGTTTAGTACATCAAGTTAAACTTAATAAAAAATATAATAAATAAAAATGTTGCCTTGACAACTAACTGAAATAAAAAAAATATTAATTTTTTTATTAATAAATTATTATCATTATTTTTTACATTTACTTTATTTCAAGTAACACATTTTCTTGAATGCTTTTAGGTTTAGTTAACTATAATTACCCCAACTGACATAAATCTGTGATGTGGGGAGCATTGGATCGCAAGAGATGGTTTATATTGCAAGTACAAAAAAAATAAAAAATTAATTCCTAAAAATAAATACAAAACCCTCTCCTTACCACTTGCACACTTACCCATGTACATAGTGGGTCAGATCCTGTGAGGGCCCTGAAACAACAGTCTGATTTTAGGGCCTGGTCTGGCTCATCACCAATGGGGTCAGGGCTGGAGGTTATAGTGTTGTTGTCTTCTTCAGCTACAGCTCCATGTGTGGCGTACAGTTGCTGCATAAGTGCACGCGCACACACACACACACACACACACACACACACACACACACACACACACATGTGCACTGTCTGTTACCACAACAAAGGCCACAATCAGTCTGATTCTACACTATAATCAGGGCTCTAGAATGTTGGTTTAACTTTAGCCCCAAAACTCTTAACTGTGTTACATGAGCTAGCAGGAACTGAAGATGCTTGATTGTCATCTAAGATTATCTCAAGCTTACCAAATCTGCTTTCAGACTGAACCAGCTCATCCCTGCATGTCCAATTACAGTATGGTCTATTTTTCCCTTGGCACATTTAATCACAATTAAACTATTGCGATTAGACACATTTGGGGTTCAGTATGACTCCTAATGCAAGGCCATTCCTTGCTTTTGAAAGACCAGCATTGTTTGTAAAACCATAGGATTATTATTTTATTTCAGCATTTTATTTTATTAATTGATTTCATATTATTTTGTCATCTTAAATCTTTTTATTTGATTTTTTAAAGATTAATTATTGCCTTTAACATAATAAACCTTTTATTAACTTGATCATTTTATTTTATTTTATTTTTAACTCAGAGGATTATATTATGTTATGTTATGTTAATTATATTATATGATATTATATTATATATGCATTGAACTGTGATATATGTTTCTGATATGAAAGCAAATCTGGGAAAAAAATATTATACAAAAAAAATCTGTTTTTAAATGCTTAATTGTCCCCAACAACTGCACTGTCCTCCTCTCTCTCTCTCTCTCTCTCTCTCTCTCTCTCTCTCTCTCTCTCTGGCTCTCTCTCTCTCAGTAGCCTTTATCTCCATCAAACAGGGATACTTTCTCCTTGGGCCTGTTTATTAAAAGCTAACCCGTTCAGTATGGATAGTACGTGAACAAGCAGCATGGCTGAAGTAACTGACGGGTGCTACATTCTCTCTTTGGCAGCCTGGAGTGTCCCAGCGATGTAGACAAGCAGCTGATGTCATCCTCGGTGTGTATGTGTGTGTGTGTTTGTAAAAGGCTAGCAGGAGATTGTCACCCTGCTGTTGAACATTCCTGTCCCACAAGCACAGGAGGGCACTACTGCCCCCAGAGAAAAGAAGAAAAAAGAAAGAGCGAGAGAGAGAGAGAGATAAACTGAACCGATTGAAGGGGAGATGTGGTTACAAAGCTGTTGTGTCACATGCTCCAACAGCGATAATTTACTCCGCTGGAGTCAGATGGTGTTGGTGCCTCAGAATGCCAGGAACGCAGATGAGTTCATTCTGCACGCTATAAGACGATCACACTCGCAATTCATGTTAAAGGGCAGTTCCTCCAAATGTTTCAAGGCTCTCCAATGCTTCATTGTGGCTTTTTGCTTCCCAGCAGGGACGATATCCCCTGAATTTACCCAAAAGACTTTCGGTTTTGTTTTTAATTATCTCTTTTAAATTTCTAAAGCAATCTGTGGTCAGATTTTCACATGTAATTGGATCAGTTCAGCATAAATATGTGTTATTTAGTCTATTTAGGGAATCCCGTTTTACTGGTTCTACATGAGTGTGCTGCCGTACTGCTTTGAATTGTGGGAATACTTTCTTGTGCCATTTCAGATTCAGAGTGATTTATTCAGTGATGACATCGAGTTCACAGCTATTTTTATTGGCCAGTAAACTGGCCGATCTGCCCTCAGTTACAACAGATAGCCAATCAGAGAGAGTCTAGGGGGAAAATATGTTTTATGCTAGTAATCAACCAGGCTTCCACATGGAAAATCTATGTAAAATTATGTACGAATATACAATTGTTTCAGCGTCAAGTGTCTGTAATTGTTGACTCATTGCCCTAACAACCGCACAACTCGAACCAAATACTTTATCCAATCATTTTCCATCTCTTATTTCTCACAGGACCCTGGAACTGAGAGGACATTAACATCACCCCTGTGCAATCAGATCAGGGCCATCCATTTCAAATTCACCTGTCATTGACCTGTCACTTGCAGCAATGAGAGGCAGAGCTGTTATGACATCATAGCCATGTGACAAATTGGAACTTTTATGTTGTCAACAAATTACAGAATTTGTGGTATTTTCTTTGAAATTGGGTAAATGGAAAAAGTGGGTTTCATTTATTATGAGAGTTTGAAAGCACTGTGAAATATCTTGACTATTCACAAACATCAGTAACATGATGCATAGTGTCCTTGTTACAGTGTAATTATAGATTTAAGTACTACTGAGTAATATTAATTACTTACTATAGGGTTAGGGTTAGGATCAGGATTTGGTTTAGGGTTAGTTGCATGGAATTATTCATAATGTTATTACAATAGTAAGTGCATGTATGTAATAAGGAAGGATAAGTGTTACTGAAAAATTGTCAGAACATTGTGCCAGGAATCACAATTGTGACACACAAGAAAGTGAAAATATTCACTGAGTTTTAGTTGGGACCGACATTCATTTCTATAGCATGGGGCTACAGAAAACCTGAGAGATTTTCCTTGATTGCACAATACATGTGACCTAACTATAACAAAACTTCCGACACAGACGTTTCACCTTTTCTACAGTTCTAAAAATAAAAGATAAAAGAGTTTAAGTATAACTAATTTGGAACCAACACATCCAACCGCAACATTCAAAGTATTCACATCAAATGCCATATTAAAACAAGATGAACCAGAGAGCTAATTACTTACTCTATTAGGAATTCATTAGACCACAAGCCCTTTCTCCATCAGAGCAATCTTAGAAGATCTGACACTGGGCTTTAAGAGCAAATAACAGGCCAAGGCCGAAGCTTGAAAGGTTATAGAGCACAGGTCTCACATCTCTTAATAAATTATGAGGTGAGATAGAGCTACTAATGAGTTGTTTTGACACAGTCTGAGACTCACAAATTGGATCAATACACATTCAGTAAACGGTAAAGACACCATCTTAATTGGTCGTTCATTCATGTCACTCTTTGCAGGTTTTAGCAGGTTCATTAGTGTGTGTGTGTGAGTGTGTGTGTGTGTGTGTGTTTGTGTGTGTGAAAGAGAGATCACTCACTGAGTGATCTGCCTTGTGCATATGTTCATTATTATTAGTGATATATTTAGCATGATTTCAGAATAAGGTCTCATAAGTTACTGTTATTTAATGCAATTACCACAAGTTACAGTTAACTATGCAATTAATGTAACAACAAGCAGTACATTTGGTATTTAGGCTATTGCTCTTGTTAATGTTAATAAAACACAACTGTTCATTTTTTTTAGTTCATGTTAGCTCAGGTCTATTAAATAATATTAACAGATACGACGTTTGATTTGAATAATGTATTAGCAAATGGTGATTAATTCGATTAATACAATTATTTTTGTTAGGTCATGTTAATATAGGCCTAGTTAACGAATGTTATTCGATTTTGTTACATTTGCTAATTATTTTCTAATTTTACTTCGCATTTTTATTTTCACACCAGGGGTGCCCAAACTCGGTCCTGGAGGGCCGCTGTCCTGCAGAGTTTAGCTCCAACCCTAATCAAACACACCTGAACCAGCTAATCAAGATCTTACTAGGCATACTAGAAACTTCCAGGCAGGTGTGTTGAGGCAAGTTGGAGCAAAACTCTACAGGACATAGGCCCACCAGGACTGAATTTAGACACCCCTGGTTTAAAGGCTACTGTGCATTATTTGCTAGATCATATAAGTGCTACTCGCCATCTGCATAATAACACTGCTCAAACATGACACACTATCTCACAAAATGAGAATTAGCATATAACTTACATGTGAACACTTACAAATAATGCCTTTTTTTCTGTTTAAAAATGTAATAGAGTACGTCGCTCTTGAAAAGAAAAAATGAAGTAGTAGCATGTACTGTAGCAAGCCGCCTACTTTTGGTTCACGTCTGCCATGACTTGGCTTCGTATCAGTCTATGCTTCGTATTGGCCAACGGACTGACTCATATCAATTAGCTGCATAATAATGCGGACATCTAGTGGCGTACAAGTGACAGTGCAGATATTATTTCTACTCGGGTTTTAAAGGGATAGTTCACCCAAAAATGAAAAATCTGTCATCATTTACTCACCCTCATGTCGTTCCAAACCTGTGTGAGTTGCTTTCTTATGTTGAACACAAAAGAAGATATTTTGTAGATTGCTGGTAATCAAACAGTTGGTGGTTGCCATTGACTTCCATAGTATTTTTTTTTTCTACTATGGAAGTCAATAGCAACCACCAACTGTTTGATTACCAGCAATCTTCAAAATAGCTTCTTTTGTGTTCAACATAAGAAAGCAACTCACACAGGTTTGGAACGACATGAGGGTGAGTAAATGATGACAGATTTTTCATTTTTGGGTGAACTATCCCTTTAATGGTTCATAAAACACAGCACACAAATACAATTTAAACTCGTTATATCAACACAAAATTATTTTTCTTTTTTCTTTATTCTCTTCAACAGCCCAAACAATATCATTCATTAGAAGGAACTTTGTTTTGTTCCTAACAGAATGGAGAGTTAGCGCAGTGAGAGATGCTTACACGAGAGTGTGAACTGATATTTTACGTTGATATAGCCATTTTTTAAAATGTTGATGATAACATATCAAGCTCTGCAATTTCAGCCTGATTTTTTTTTAACTAATAAACAAGCTAATACAACATAATTCATAAAATCTACCCAACACATCCAGATGAATGGAAAGGAATTAGACCATTTAAAACTTTATACATTTTTAAATTATGTATTTTAAATATTATATATAACTATATATAATCTATTTATGATATGTTTATAGAAGGAATAACTTATTTTACGCATAGCACCGCTGTAATGTGTTTTTATAAATATTAGATATTAACGTTCGGGATATAAAAATGTATTGTATAAAAGGAATAACTCTATTTCATGCGTAGCACCACAAATGTGTAAATGTGTAAATGTGTAAATGTAAATCCGCAGATCACACATACACACAGCCTCCTCCTCCTCCTCCTCCCAGCCGTGGAGTGGCGCTGTACCGCTGTGGATAAACGTGCGGCGGCCGCTCGGCCATGTTGAAGTGTGGAGGAACTGCAGCCCGCCATTGTGTGTCTGATCTGCAGCTGTAGCGAGAGAGAGAGCGAGACGGGCGCAAAGACTTTAAAAACACACACATTTACCGTTGACTTTAACCCGCAAACAAACGCGCAGTCTAACACACAGGCTCCGGGGAGAGAGAAATGTCAGCCAGCAGCCTTCTGGAGCAGGTAAACAGAGGCACTTTGTGAACATTGAGCAGAAGTGACATCGAGGCGGGTTTTTTTCCCTCTCTCGCAGCGCGAGTTCAGGCCTGAGCTTCATATAAACCTTCGTTTATTCTCCTGCAAAATCATAATTATGAGTGGGGAAACAAGGGGTTTTCTGTGAAGCTCAAATTTCAGCAAGTGTCAGTAAGGAATTGTGGTAGACAGTGGGTACAGTGTCTGTAACTGATAGTAAATTTGTTAATGTAAATTCTTTATTTACAATAAAATTTGCTAAGTTTGCATGTGCAATATGTGATCAGTATTGTACAATTAAGATATAAGAATATAGTGTATAACACCTTTCAAAATTGTGAAAAAAATGCAAATACACACCTGATGCACATTCTTTATTTATCATTTTGTAAGTTTAAAACTTGCTTTATTTTGAAAAAAAATTACAACCATCTTGCTCCAACCAAAGGGATTTGACGTTGTAACTAGGACTTCCCAACATCCCTGGAGGACAATGAACGCACTATGACTTTGTTTTGTGCATTGGAAAGCTTTTATTTCCAGATAAAACATTCAGCTTTGACCTGATATCACCGGTATTCTTTGTGAACATTGAGCAGAAGTGACATCGAGGCGGGTTTTTTTCCCTCTCTCGCAGCGCGAGTTCAGGCCTGAGCTTCATATAAACCTTCGTTTATTCTCCTTCTTTCCTCTCCAAACTCACTCCTTCATGAATCACCTGGACCCAATCCAGAGACCGAAAGGCCAAGCAAACAAAGGTAGGTGCAGTGCCGCTATGCCGTTTCTGTGCTGTAATAAAGAGTCTCGTTCTGGTGCTGCTGTTAGCAGGCCGAGTTTTCATACCGATTCCGCTAATAATTCAACCACTTAAACCTGCTTAAAACAATCCCACGTGGAATTAAAAGACAAATGGGTCTTAAGGTAGAGACTATGGTTGGTTTTAGTTTCTCACATGTGTAAGGGGAGTTTGTGTTTGGAGCCCACGCTAGTTAGCCGCCTAGCACAGTAACTGTTAGTGAGGCCGAACACAGCGAAACGCGCGACACACCTGAACACCACCTACACTCTGCGCGAATGTTGTTTTTAGGTGTTTTCTTCTAATTTAGTGCTGTAGATGTCTCACGTGTACTTAGAATCATCATTTCTATCCGTGGTCGAGAGGCAGAGGTTTAAGCATGCTACCAAGAGGAACCTCTTGAGGGGATTTTCAGCACCTCACTCAGTGTATCAACCTTTCACAATCCAGTTGCGTGTTGAATCACTGCGTATGACCACGTGGATATGATGTGAGAGCTTTTAGTCTTTCATTTGAGTCCGTTTTCAATTTAGAAGTGCGTTACTTGCATTGTTTTGCATAGCTTTTTATAGAAAGATACTATAGGAGACGCGCAGGGATAGAAAATATGGGGAAATAATAAAAACAGCACAGGCAAGTATGAGCTGAATAATTAATTACTATATATTGTGTAAGTTAAGTGTACTAGACTTTAAGACATTAATGACATTTAAGACTTCGTTGTTGTGCTGACAGTGAATTAACTAGTATGGAGATCAGATCACTGGCTGATTTCTGATGTTCAGATAATTTAGGCTGTGATAACGGAACATCTGACACTTTAGTAAAATAAGTGTTTGAGTCTTTGAGCGTTTGTATGTAATGAGGTTTTGTCTTTGTTTTGTATCTCTGACTTAAAATAGATTTGTCAGATTGCACTTTCTGTTTAAGATGAGATGCTTTGTGTTTGAGTCGAGCTATTTCTTTTAAACTAAAGTTTGATGACAGTCAGTGTTTCATCCACATGTTGATTTCAGCACCAGGTGCATTGATCTGATGGTGTGTTCCAGTCATGTTGAAAAGATCATATTTACAAGTTGAAAGCACGTGAATGCCAGCAAAATCATAATTATGAGTGGGGAAACAAGGGGTTTTCTGTGAAGCTCAAATTTCAGCAAGTGTCAGTAAGGAATTGTGGTAGACAGTGGGTACAGTGTCTGTAACTGATAGTAAATTTGTTAATGTAAATTCTTAATTTACAATAAAATTTGCTAAGTTTGCATGTGCAATATGTGATCAGTATTGTACAATTAAGATATAAGAATATAGTGTATAGCACCTTTCAAAATGTGAAAAAAATGCAAATACACACCTGATGCACATTCTTTATTTATCATTTTGTAAGTTTAAAACTTGCTTTATTTTGAAAAAAAATTACATCCATCTTGCTCCAACCAAAGGGATTTGACGTTGTAACTAGGACTTCCCAACATCCCTGGAGGACAATGAACGCACCATGACTTTGTTTTGTGCATTGGAAAGCTTTTATTTCCAGATAAAACATTCAGCTTTGACCTGATATCACCGTTATTACATCCTTTTCATTAGACTGCTTTAAAAAAAAAAACATTGAGTATGTTCTCTAACTTTCTGTATCTTTTGCTTTCCAGTGCAAAACGGAGCTGTTACCCAAAAGGATACTTTGAACGATGATGAGTTCGAGCCTTACCTGAACGCTCAGCCTAGACAGGTAGGTCTTGTTTCAGAGCTGAACAAAAGAAGGAACCCATAGAGACAAAGAGCAGGGCAATTGTTTTTGTTGCCTATTCTCTTGAGGATTCATTATGGCCTGTAATTGCATCCTGGTCTCTAGACTTTGTTTTCTGATTAGGGTGTTAATATGGCACTCTACGCTGTAGCCAAAGACCGTATGAGAGTTGTTTAAAGAGGTGTGTGGACCTAGTTAAGTCATCCATCATACATATTGACGTATGACACCGGCAAATATTTAGTTGCTGTCTAAATTGTATTGCATGTTGATGAGTCATAGGAAATTGTGCAAAATGCAGCGCAGCTGTTCACCAGGAAGTGATGAAAGGTGATTAAGGAATGAAATAATTGGCAATAATTAGGTTTGCACTGCTGCAAATGAAATTAATCAAATTAAAAATTCTCCAATTTGCTAATTGCACTAATATATGCCGAAATAACGGGTGTTCTGGAAAAGGATGTCTTGTGAGGAAAATGGGACACAGATGAATAAAGGGTTCATCCTGTCAAAGGAATGCTGGGATCCTTTGTGGGGAATCTGTGCCACTGTTGCCCTCACAAAGCTGATTGCTGGTGTTGAAAATATGAGCAGACTGTGTGCCTGGAGGGGGGGCTGGTCCATGACCAGTCCCAAATGATCTTCTCAAAGCTCTCTTCCCAGTACTCAGCATGTCAGAGGAGGTCTTTTAGTACAAAGTTTCAGTGCACTTGAGGTTATGGTGAGCAGGGCTGAACAATAAAGTTCTTACTGGCCTGAGGTCTCTGTGAGAGTTTAAATATTTAAGAGAGATGGTTTTTTGATCAAATGCAGTGAAAACAGTTAATAATTTATTGCAATTTAAAATAAGTAAAATGATTTGAATGTACTTTTAAATTGTAATTTATTACTTTGAAGGCAGTGCTGAATTTTCAGGAGCCATTGCTCTAATCTTCATTGTCATATGATCCTTCAGAAATCCTTGTAATGTGCTGATTTATTGCGCATGAGACATTTCTTTTTTTTAAATTTACATTTTAAGTTCAAAAGAACAGCATTTATTCAATATATAAATTTTTGACTTGATTTGGCATTTACACTGTATTGGCCAGTGAAATTTTGGCAATGCAGGTAGTAATCTGAACTTCAAGGAGAAGAAAACCATGTTTAGTTATTGTTAACCTAACTTTATTTTATTCAGCTTAATTTTCTTTCGAACCAGCAGTAATGACAAGGGAGAGTAGAGAATATTTAATGACAATACAGATAATTGAAATGGTGCTGCTTTTACCCTAATGTTGCACTTAAACTTGTGAATATTTTACCCCCACATGTATTTACTTTTACTTGTTTTACTCATTTACTTGCTTTTATCAGCCTGTGCAACTGACTGTGCTCAATAGGAAGACTTATATGTTGTTCTTGTTTTTGCAGAGCAATGCCTATACGGCCATGTCCGACTCCTACATGCCCAGTTACTACAGCCCCTCGATAGGCTTTACCTATTCGCTGAACGAAGCGGCATGGTCTACAGGCGGTGACCCCCCGATGCCTTACCTGGCCTCTTATGGACAGCTTAGCAATGGGGAGCACCACTTTCTCCCAGATGCCATGTTCGGCCAGTCCGGGGCACTGGGGAGCAACCCTTTCCTCGGACAGCACGGCTTCAACTTCTTCCCCAGTGGGATTGACTTCCCAGCCTGGGGGAACAGCAGCTCTCAGGGACAGTCCACACAGAGCTCAGGTTACAGCAGCAGTTATGCCTATGCTCCTAGCACGCTAGGAGGTGCTATGATCGACGGACCGTCTCCCTTTGCAGCCAACGAGCCGCTCAACAAGGCCGTGGGCATGAATAGCTTGGATCAGGGCATGGCGGGGCTTAAGATTGGAGCTGGGGACATGGCACCCAAAGTTGTTGGTTCTGGACTTCCTGGAGGGCCATTGAGTCAGGTGTCTGCAGCTCCCACCATGGCTTCCGCCTCCATGGCTCCCGCGAAAACTGCGTCTTGGGCGGACATTGCCAGCAAGCCGGCCAAGCCGCAGCCTAAGCTGAAAACCAAGGGGGGACTTGGCGGGACGAGTCTGCCGCCACCTCCCATCAAACATAACATGGATATTGGGACTTGGGACAACAAGGGGACTATGCCTAAACCAGCAGCCCCACAGCAGACTTCCCTGCCCACTAATGGACAGCTACATAAGGATATGATGAATAAAAACAAAATGCTGTTTGGTAAATGCAACCTTAAATGTTGCATTTTGTTGCTACAGGTAATGGAAAGGCAGATTTTGTGGCAGTATACATAAGTTGTTCTCCCATCATTTGCGGAGTCCCCTTAAAAGGGTAGTTCACATGAAAATTACATTTTCATCATTTACTCAGTCATGTTTTTCAAACCTATGTGAATTTCTGTTGAACAAAAGTTTATTTTTTGTTATTGTTAGTTGTCGTTATTGTATGGGCAAAAATAGGTGAAACAATTCTTTAGAGAACATCTACAAATTTGAGTCCATATAACCTGTTTTTGGTTTGACCAGAATTACATATATGGGGTTAAAACCACCTTGAAAACTTCTACCACAGGTGTGCTGGGGGTTTTGTTTTACGGTTTATCACTGCAAGAAAACATCTGTGTTTGTTTTGGGGGTTTTTTCTTCCCCACATCAATTCTCAAGTTATTTGAGAGCATTTTGATGTTGCATGTCCATATTTCAGATTTGACCAAACAAATGCATACAAGTTCCCCATAGCCCCCCCCCCCCTTTATTCTGCCTTTTTATTTATTTATTTATTTTTATATAATTTAGTGTTTTTATGCTGTCTGTCTCTTTGCTGTGTCTTTATAGTTTATTATAGTGTTTGTATATTTGGCTCAGGGTCGCATTGTGTACAATGCACAATAAGCATATAAAGTGTACTCTAGGGCTGCACGATAAATCGCATGCGATTGTTGTGCGCATCTCGTCAGTAATGCCGGTTCTGTGATTAGTAGTAAATCTCCATCACATGCTTTCAGATGGAGCGGCATTTACTACACAGAGCCATAGATCACTGACAAGCTACGCAATGTCGTGTTCATTATCGCATGCGATTCGTGTGTGAACTGGCTTTACTGACGAGATGTGAATGACAATCGCATGCGATTTTATCGTCCAGCCCTAGTGTACTCATTTAGTGTGGTGAACAGTATTTACAGAGTTGCCGGACAGCACATAATTATAGGTTGAATCAAATGAAAGCCCAGCCCAGATATCCACCGTTTTGCTTTGTATAGTGTCGACACTAATGGTTCTTCTGCCATGTGATTGTGTGGTGCTGTTGTAGCAGAACAAAGGTATTTTTAGATAATTCATTTCTTTACCGTGGTTATGTGGACAATGTGAATTATGGCTGTAAAGCTCCAGAATAGAGAGTTCATATTACAGTTCTTTCTGTATACGTGGGCTGACATCACCAGTTTAGCTCACTGAATGTTTTTAGCAAGACGGTTCTTCTGTTTGAATAAGGTGTAATTGCTTTGTGAAGTATTGTTTACTGAAATAATACTTCATAAAAAGAACACCTTGAAGTGAAATTGTTTAATTACATCTTTGTTTACTTTTATTGTCCTTCCTAACAAATGCTGGCACTGTGGTTTCCCCTCATGTCCCTACATTGAATACAGACTTGTTTAAGATTGGCTTGGAAAACCAGAATTTTCATTGAAAGCCCAGCCCAGATATCCACCGTTTTGCTTTGTATAGTGTCGACACTAATGGTTCTTCTGCCATGTGATTGTGTGGTGCTGTTGTAGCAGAACAAAGGTATTTTTAGAGAATTCATTTCTTTACCGTGGTTATGTGGACAATGTGAATTATGGCTGTAAAGCTCCAGAATAGAGAGTTCATATTACAGTTCTTTCTGTATACGTGGGCTGACATCACCAGTTTAGCTCACTGAATGTTTTTAGCAAGACGGTTCTTCTGTTTGAATAAGGTGTAATTGCTTTGTGAAGTATTGTTTACTGAAATAATACTTCATAAAAAGAACACCTTGAAGTGAAATTGTTTAATTACGTCTTTGTTTACTTTTATTGTCCTTCCTAACAAATGCTGGCACTGTGGTTTCCCCTCATGTCCCTACATTGAATACAGACTTGTTTAAGATTGGCTTGGAAAACCAGAATTTTCATTTGTTGTTTTTAGTGTGGAACAACTGTCAGAATAAGAGAGCACTGTTTCAGAGTTTGCACCCTTCAGTCTCCAGTAAATCTTAGTGGCTGTAGGGCTGTGCTGTATAGCGAAAAAATGTATCAACGATATAATGTTTCATATCGTTCGGTATTGATAATTGACCCTTTTAATAGGCTAATCTTTTTTTAAAACTGAGCAATAGAAAAATAACTTTAAATTTAACCACTGTGTTTTTAAACTAACCCATTTTATTGAGACAAACAACATATTTTTTTGTTTTAACAGTCAAACACAAAATATAAATTTAAACATCTCCTTTCTAATGTTTTATATGCAGATTAATAAGTCCCTTCAGTCTCCAGTAAATCTTAGTGGCTGTAGGGCTGTGCTGTATAGCGAAAAAATGTATCAACGATATAATGTTTCATATCGTTCGGTATTGATAATTGACCCTTTTAATAGGCTAATCTTTTAAAACTGAGCAATAGAAAAATAACTTTAAATTTAACCACTGTGTTTTTAAACTAACCCATTTTGAGACAAACAACATATTTTTTTGTTTTAACAGTCAAACACAAAATATAAATTTAAACATCTCCTTTCTAATGTTTTATATGCAGATTAATAAGTCTTACGGAAGCTTTTGGCTTGTTTCCCGAGGCCACAGGAGGGTGCAATGAGCAAAGTAATGCAGCGTATTAAATGCAATGAAATAACTTAGCTGTCTACAAAAAAAGTACATAACGTCTAAATTAACATATCTAAATCAAATATAATTTCATAAATTGCATAAACAATTAGGAACAAAACAGCATTATGTATGCATTGCTTAATACAAAGAGCCGAATCGCCCATCACACAGATTGCATTAATAAAATTATTAGGACACCGTGAAAAGGAATAAACCTCCATAAATTCACGACGTGTTTTCTAAACGTTTAAACGGTTTTAACTTTGTGTGAGACGCGAGTGCAGCAGTCATAATTGTCCGTCTAAAAAAAAAATGTGCTGAAAATGCATTCTGTGTGAATGGCTTGGTTTCGGTCTTAACCAGGAGGGTGCAATGAGCAAAGTAATGCAGCGTATTAAATGCAATGAAATAACTTAGCTGTCTACAAAAAAAGTACATAACGTCTAAATTAACATATCTAAATCAAATATAATTTCATAAATTGCATAAACAATTAGGAACAAAACAGCATTATGTATGCATTGCTTAATACAAAGAGCCGAATCGCCCATCACACAGATTGCATTAATAAAATTATTAGGACACCGTGAAAAGGAATAAACCTCCATAAATTCACTACGTGTTTTCTAAACGTTTAAACGGTTTTAACTTTGTGTGAGACGCGAGTGCAGCAGTCATAATTGTCCGTCTAAAAAAAAATGTGCTGAATATGCATTCTGTGTGAATGGCTTGGTTTCGGTCTTAACGTAATCGAGATCTACACATTGAGCTACTATATTTCTCGAATATTTTGAATGAATAACGCAGCAGTGGCGCTTCTCGTGGGCTAGACTAACAAAGCATTAAAATGTAACAACGTCACTTATATCATCACCGCATCTCATGCACCGCTGATGACATTCCCTGACGCACACCTAACATTCGACTGTACAATTTTTGCATTCAGATCCAAATGTTAATTTTCAAATTCGACTAATATTCATTTTTTTATTCACAATCTCCGTCGATAAATACCTATACTGTTTTATCGCCCAGGCCTAAGTGGATGTCATTTGCTATTTAGATTTTATTAACATGTTGCACAACTAGTTGTAATATGACTGGAGATACCTAGAAAATAACAATTTCCAGGCCAGAAAAAAATCAGGGAGTTTCTGTTTACAAAGAGCCGAATCGCCCATCACACAGATTGCATTAATAAAATTATTAGGACACCGTGAAAAGGAATAAACCTCCATAAATTCACGACGTGTTTTCTAAACGTTTAAACGGTTTTAACTTTGTGTGAGACGCGAGTGCAGCAGTCATAATTGTCCGTCTAAAAAAAATGTGCTGAATATGCATTCTGTGTGAATGGCTTGGTTTCGGTCTTAACGTAATCGAGATCTACGCATTGAGCTACTATATTTCTCGAATATTTTGAATGAATAACGCAGCAGTGGCGCTTCTCGTGGGCTAGACTAACAAAGCATTAAAATGCAACAACGTCACTTATATCATCACCGCATCTCATGCACCGCTGATGACGTTCCCTGACGCACACCTAACATTCGACTGTACAATTTTTGCATTCAGATCCAAATGTTAATTTTCAAATTCGACTAATATTCATTTTTTTATTCACAATCTCCGTCGATAAATACCTATACTGTTTTATCGCCCAGGCATAAGTGGATGTCATTTGCAATTTAGATTTTATTAACATGTTGCACAACTAGTTGTAATATGACTGGAGATACCTAGAAAATAACAATTTCCAGGCCAGAAAAAAATCAGGGAGTTTCTGTAGTGGATATAGATGTTCTGGTTATGCTTATCTTGGAAAAATTTCATTACTTATTAATATACAAATATTGTCAGTCTCTGTAATTTGAATAATGGTTGGTATTTCAAGAGCATTTGATTTAAAATGGTATTTCTCTTTTGGGCAGGTGGAGGTTCAGGGGAGTGACCCATACTCCAGTAACTCCAGTCGGAGCCACTACAGAATGCAGGTGATTCATCTTGCAGATTCAATCTTTGTTCATATCAACCTCCTCTATCTATCGGCATGCTTGTAAATTAGAGTATCTGTCAGCTTGTAAATAATGGGTTTAATTTCTGTTAGTTTCAGCAGGCCCAGCCATTAGGCATGTTAAAACACCTTAAAGTTGACTAGACTTGTCAGTAGGCACATAATAAAAGATGTTGTTAAAACATTAAATCATTTAACAGTTATACATTTTCCTAACAAGGGTGTGGGTGTAATAGATATAGATTTGAGATTTATTTTTAGTTTAATTTGATTAATAACCTACTGGTCATGTAACTAGTATTCAACAGTTTGGGAACAGGATTTTTTTTTCTTCATTGTTTTGAATGTAATTACTACTTTGAAAAACGTTTAAAAGTAAAAAAATTTAAAAGAATCCTGGGAAAATGATTACGGTTTCTTTAGAAATAGTAAAACGCAGTTTTGTTTTCAACTTTTTTTTTTTTTTACAGTTGAAATGTTTCTTGAGCAGTAAATCTGCATAGTTGAATGATTTCTGAAGAATTGTGTAACACTGAAAGCTGGAGTAGTCACTGAAAATTCAGCTTTGCCATCATAGTAACACATTACATTTTAAAGTGTATTCTAATAGAACATGTTATAAATTCTAGTAATTTCATGATGCAGATTTACTGTATTTGATCAAATAAATGGAGATCAAGTAATTGTTACCTCCAACTTTTGAGATGTACTTTAAAAAAAGGCATTGACTTCGAAGTAAAACTGTATTAATCATTTATTTATTTTAGGGCTGCATCGATAAAGCGCATGGGATTTTCATTCGCATCTCGTCAGTAAAGCCAGTTTTGTGATTAGTAGTAAATCTCCGTCACGTGCTTTAAGATGGGCCGGCACTTAATACACCGAGCCGTAGATCACTGACAAGCTACGCAATATCGCGTTCATAAACGAAGGCAATAAATCTGCGATTATGAAAGTGATATTGCTTAGCTTGTCAGCAAACTACGGCTCTGTGTAGTAAATGCCGTTCCATCTGAAAGCAGGTGATGGAGATTTACTACTAATCACAGAACCGGCTTTACTGACGAGATTCGCATGACAACCCCATGCAATTTATCGTGCAGCCCTAGAGTACACTATATATATTTTACAGAATTTACTTCAAAATGTCCTCCCAGCATGCTTTGTTTACAGTTGTTATATTCATTCTCTTTTCCAGGATCGCCAAGGACGTGTGAAGTAACAAGCACTGCTTTGGGCAAAAGACTGACAGGCCCTATTTCTCTCCCCAATCTTACAACCAGATATTTTCAGAAATTATTTTGGGGAAAGATTTAACCAAGGATTCAAAAAGAAGAAAAAAGAAACTAAATGAAGACTCTTCTTTGATTTCTGTTGACCTAAAAGACTTACTTCGAACTTGTAGTAAAAGAAATGACACGATTATTCATAGGACTACAACTTAATTCTATAGGATTCTAATAGTGAACCCAATACTTCTCACCTCTTTTTTTTTTTTTTGGGGTCCCATTTTTGTTCTGCTGCCTCTTTTTCTCCTAAAGGTTTTTTGTTTTTTAGAAAAAAACATCTGTTTTTACAGTCCAAGCACATGGCTTTGCTTCTCTCTTACTACAATATTGATTTTTTTTTTCTTTCTTTTAAATCATTGGGTTCTAGTGCCCCGGATCCTGTATAGGCAGTTTCCCCCCTCATTTCTCTGTTAACCCCCCACCTTCTCTTTATTGGAGCTGAAACCATCCAGTCAGGACGTGAAATGATCATCGCCTTCTCAGTGGATGTTCCATTGTTGGTTAATTGGCCACTAGTCAGTACAAGTCTCATTACCTTCTGAGGAAAAAAAATTAAAAAAAGTTTACCAAGATTATAAAATGGGAAAAAAAATGTAATTAAAAAAAAATCTAATGAATGTTCAGGAATGTCCTGAGTTTTTTTTCTGTTCTTGTTTTGTTTTGTTTTGTTTTGTTTTTTATTGTGTTGGTAATAGAGGGTGTTTGGCAGGGGACGATAAACGGAGAAGCCGATTTGTTGAGTTAAGGCTTTTGCTCATTGGATCAGTTTTATAGTGTACAAAAGGGGGCTGTGTTTGAGAGTTGTCAGCTTATTTTCCATTTACTTTTTCTTCTGCAAGTTAAAGAAATTATTGCTATGGGCTGCTCTCCTCCCGTCATTTTTATTTTTTTTCGTTCTCGTCTTTCTCTTCCGTTTCTTAAGTCTGAATTGAGGTGGGCCTTGCACCCTCTCTTTCTCATAATCAGTTCATTAAAAATAAATGTGGTATACTCGGCAGAACTTGTGTGTTGCATTTTCCCCTTGTTTGACTAAATACTTCATGCACTAACCTGTGTCCCAAACTGCCTGGTCCCCCCTCCACCCAGCACCCACACTCCTCTCCTACACTAGCTGCCTGCACACTTCACCCCTTCTTCTACTTTGTTCATGTTGGTGCATTAAAACGACTCCTGCAAAACTGCTGGTATTTAGCAGTGTCAGAATAAAGATGCTGCACAAAGCTTCAAGTGTGTTTGCTTTCTGAAGAAGTGAATTCACTGTAAGACCAACAATTTGGTTGGTCTGTTCTTATTGGTACTTTGAGGGTTTGTTTTACCTGTATCCATGGCGGTGTGTTTAATTGTCACAAACACAATATGCCTTTTCTTGTGAGGAAGCCATCTTGAGTGTTAATCCACCTTAATGGTGAATCAGTAGTTGGGTTAAGTACTTATTTCACTCATAAGTATTTCAATGAAATCATTAATTACCCCATGAAACTTAATGTTTGAGTCAGGTCAAAGAAAAAAATGCTATGGCCTCTGGATATGTGACTTCTCACAAGCTGAAATTAGTTTTCTGGTTCTCTGGATTGACCAGCTTTTCTTACAGTGAGTCACCTTGGTTTACATGAAACGGTTTCATTATTTAAAACGCTAAAATTAGATTTTTTAAAAAAAAAAATTTATCTGCGTTATTTTCTTGTTTACTTCTCAGAAGCACTTACTTAATCAGCCTCTCGGTGGCGCTGTTTCCACATCTATCCTGATTGTGGATACAAGGTTTTGCCTTGAGTGTGTAAACAATGCTTGTATGTGTTAGGAAATCGCCAAAATTCCTGCATAATCATCGTTTGAAAATATAATAACTTTACATTTATCAAAGTTGTATGTCAGTATCCTAAAATCACAACGGGCTGCCTTCAATACTCTTCGACAGAAGGACAGATTTAATCCTAAAATGGCGGCACTATGTTGATATGAACATGTTTGTTCAACAGGGGGCGATAAAACTTCATTTTTTCGCCTCCCAAAACTGATGTAAACGACCCGTTTGATTGAATGAAAAGAATAAGGACTCGCCTTTATGACACTGATTGATTTAATTAGATTTTTTTTAAACGATGTACTTTTTATTCCGTTAATTTGTGACTGTTTCGCAACAAAAGATAAATCCAAATTAAGTATAGCTATAACCCTTTAAAGGCTTAGCTCACTCAAAAAAGAAAACCGTCTTCATTTTCCCACCCTTGTGTTATTCCAAAACTATACGACGTTCTTTGTTCTGTGAAACAAAAATATATATTTTGAGAAATGTCTCACACTTTTTTTTAATTCCACAGAAGAAAGAAAATCATACAGTTTTGGGTGAGTAAATGAACATACAGTTTTCTTTTGGCTGAACAATACCTTTAAAAATCCTATTTTAAAACAATTGACAATATATTCACTTGCTCAGAACAGATATGTGGGGTTAATCTTACATAGTGTGGTAAAGAAAGAGGCAAAATATGTTTTTAGTATAAAATCATTTTCTTTTTTTTCTTCAGAGTCATAAAGAATATTGCGATGGCCTACACACTAATAAAAGAATCAAACATGGCTCGCACAGTGAAAATTGTGACCACCCTTGTTTATTTCAGTATGCACAACATTAAGCCTTTCACTTTATTTTATGAGGTAAAATGAACAGAGGCATTTAACATGGAGTATATGCAATTTTACATTTTACTATCCAACGGTTTTGAGCTTGGGTAATATGTCAGGCCACTGTGTCAGCGAGGTCACAGCCATCAATCAATTAAACCTTTTAATTGATGACTGCAGCAGAGCTCTGCCTCCTTAAGTGCTAAGACCAAGTATTTGCAAGAAGCCTTATATGTTCCTGAATCAGTTCTTGTTTTATGTATGTGTATGGCCATAGTGTGTATGTATTTGTCTATTTTAGAGCATAAGAGATATTAACCTGTGTGTGTGGTGTTGATATTAAGGGTGTTTTTTACATATGAGGGGGAAATAAGATGCAGCACATGGCTCAACCTCCCGTCTGTCTATATCATGCCGCCTGAGGGGCCCTTCTCTGACCTCGGCCTCTCTCTCCCCAGGGACCCCAAAACCTCTCAGGATCCCTAGACAACATGAAGGTGGGGAGGGGAACGGCACGTGTCTCTGAGACCATTGATACGGTGTGTTTAAGACAGATGTAGTCTAGTCTGTCCATGTGTCTTCTACTCTGAAAATAGAGCAAACCAAATAGTGCACATGCCTGCTGATGTTATGATTTACTTTTTTGCTGTTAAAACTGTAGGGTGCCTTAGAAGAAAACCAGATCCTCATAAAATTGCTTGGGGAAATTCTTATTAAACCATTCCACTTTAGCATGAAAAAGACTAATATATAGGTTTATCTTGCCTATTTTAAGATCAATCGCTATAACAGTGCAGGCCACAGGGAAGTCTGCAGCGATTTTCAGGCTTTTAGATCATATCCGTGTGGCCACTGATATCAGGCTGCAGCTGAATAACGAAGATGCAGGCCTGAAAACAATCAGTCTCGGGTTTAAGAGCAATAGATGTTGAGAATTTCCGATTTAGGTTGTTCTTGTACCCCAGACAGTATTATCGCTTTTTATCCTGCTGCCGTTGCTGTCCGGATTGTGTGCGGGGTGAGGGGCTCCGTTTATCAGTGTGTTGACAGTCGAGCAGCCGCGTGCGTTCAGCGTATTATCAAGAGCGCGCGCGTGTATTTTTGCCATTAGTAACGCCTGGCCATGTCTGCAAAAGATACAATTTACATAATAAAATCATTTCTGTACTACACCGAGGGACCGATTTATTTCAAACGAATATGTATATATGGAGGTCGAAAGAAAATATGAAAGGGTCCATTTAAATGTCCTTTCAATTGCATAAAATGTGTTTAACACAAGTTAAAAATAAAACAGATAAACAGCACGAATGAAAAAAACATTTTAAACAAAGAAATACAATCTGAATTTAAGCTCATTTATTATGTAGCCTACTTATGCAAAATCTTGCGCATTTAATGATGTCTAATTTTCTAGGTTTAAATGATCCATCTCTTTATAAGCATTGGCTATTTGTATATTTATTTATATAACAAAGAAATCATCCAAATTAATTTTATTCAAAACGTTCATTAATTGTAATTTGCTCTTAATTTTTTTAATAATGTTAAGATGTTTTCCATTTGCTGAACCTTACGCATATTTGTCATATCTGTGTTTTTTTCTCTCTCTCTAGAAGATTTTTGAAAGACTATAAACCTAAATAAAAATGTAAAAAAACACCAAAAAATCTTTACAAAATAAATTCACATTATTTGTTAATATGTTTTTCCAGAGACAGAATATTAGACACACTGAAATTTTAGGCTTTTTGTTGAAACGTTTTAATTCAAGTGCTTCTCATTTTATAATAATCCATTATTCTTTAATACAAAGTAACATTATTTTACGTCTAATTTATTTTACTTATTCGTGATCGTTATGGGTTTGGGGAATGCAAGAGTGTAACACGTACAAGGTAACGTTCTTCTCAATCACACTGCAATTTTAAAATATTTTTTAATCATGCAAAAATGCTATGCTGTTGTGCAAAATTGTCCTTCGTAGTGATTGCCTAGTCGATCTCGATTTGAAGTCGACATAAGGACAAATGTGCAAAAGCGTGGACAAGTGTGGAAAAAATAAATACGTCTCAAAGGTTTGTAAATTGCACGACCAAAAATACTCTGTGTAAATGTATATAAGCTTAAAATGCAACACCAGCAACGTCATATGCAGTCTGAATGACTGTCAGAGTGATTAATATTTGCTTTTATTGTCTTCACAGTTGTGTGTTCCGTCGACGGAAATCTAGCCTGAGGGGCAGCGCCTCATCCTAGACCCTGTTTGCCTTTCTTTTGTGAGTAAAATTCATCATTAGTCATAAATAAATACGTAAACTTTGACCCCTCTAACATCTGCGCCACGTGCCTAGAGCAGATAGGTGATTTATTACTGCCAGTTTGAAGGAACATGATTTGAATGGCAGGAGCATGACATTGGGCCTTATGTGTTGGTGTTTGTGCTGTTCTCCTGTTTAAAATGGGCAGTAGCAGGTTGTAACAAACCTTAATAATACCCTACTTAAGATTTTCTTAACTTAAGTGGTTTGTTGCAACGGGCCCCTGATCTTACTCTGAATTCACTGCGTCACAGGTTTGGGCAATGCTGTCAGAAATGACCGAATTGTGAAATATAGTATTTTTTTTTTAAATCTGCACAAATTTTATGGGTGCTATTTAAAGCCCTTAATCCCGTACTCACTACACTGCGTTTGCATATTACACTCCATTGCTTGTAATGATGGCTTGTGTTGTGAAATCTAGGTCATAACGCAACCTTTGCATTTTTCGCCTCCAAGCTTTTTGCAGAGCATTGCCACTAAATATAATCTCATGGTTCGGGAGAGATACAGCCATGCCTTTCGTAAATCATTATATGCATATTAGGCCCATGTTCATATATTTTTGTTTGATGTAATGAATATCTGATGATCTACTTAAGTGTTTGCCATGTATAAAGGGATTAACTGGTTGCATGATATCAGGTAGGGGTTGGTAGTGTGATGGTGCAGTGTATTATTTTATTGTGCACATATGATGTCTAGTATGAAACCATAGTGACCGTACTAAACGTGACTTTGTCCCGTCGATCGGTCGCTCAGGTGAGTGCTGCTGTTGGCTTCTCTCTTGGCATTCACCGCGTGCCTTAATTGTATTGAAATTAAATCAAGGTCCACTGTGAACACAAAGAGCAAAAACCCAAGTTTCCGAACGTCGTCCACTTTGTCTTTTCCTACAAACTCTCTCCGTTCCTCTTCATCCCTGCAGCCTGGTCTGTTCTCACGGCTAACGGTTCAATCGTGCGCTTCAGTTTCTCTGCCGGTTCTGTATTTGGTCCCTATGCAGTCTGCACATCGTGTTCTTGTCCTTCAGTACAATACCACATTTCCGTACTCATCTAAAATCCCTTTCTTCTCACCTGTCCTCCTCCTTCTGCATCTGATGTGGGCTTCGCTGGTGTTAGTGCAGTCCAAACAAGAAGTCCTAATCTTGCACAATCACACACACACACACACACACACTCACGGACACTTACAAATGCACTATCGCACATCTTTCCGAGGATTCTCCCTGTGCCTGCAGGATTTAAATAGAATAATTCCCCTCTTCGATCGGCCTAGATGTGTGTTAAGGACAAAACATACATGACAATGCAACACAGTGTTTCTCATGGTCATATTTTACACACATATACACAAAAAGATCCCTTTCAAAAACATTCAGACCTCCACAATTTTAGCTGCACTCTGTACTGAATACATGTCCTGAGAAATTACAAGATAGAGAAAATGGGCAGTAGCAGGTTGTAACAAACCTTAATAATACCCTACTTAAGATTTTCTTAACTTAAGTGGTTTGTTGCAACGGGCCCCTGATCTTACTCTGAATTCACTGCGTCACAGGTTTGGGCAATGCTGTCAGAAATGACCGAATTGTGAAATATAGTATTTTTTTTTTAAATCTGCACAAATTTTATGGGTGCTATTTAAAGCCCTTAATCCCGTACTCACTACACTGCGTTTGCATATTACACTCCATTGCTTGTAATGATGGCTTGTGTTGTGAAATCTAGGTCATAACGCAACCTTTGCATTTTTCGCCTCCAAGCTTTTTGCAGAGCATTGCCACTAAATATAATCTCATGGTTCGGGAGAGATACAGCCATGCCTTTCGTAAATCATTATATGCATATTAGGCCCATGTTCATATATTTTTGTTTGATGTAATGAATATCTGATGATCTACTTAAGTGTTTGCCATGTATAAAGGGATTAACTGGTTGCATGATATCAGGTAGGGGTTGGTAGTGTGATGGTGCAGTGTATTATTTTATTGTGCACATATGATGTCTAGTATGAAACCATAGTGACCGTACTAAACGTGACTTTGTCCCGTCGATCGGTCGCTCAGGTGAGTGCTGCTGTTGGCTTCTCTCTTGGCATTCACCGCGTGCCTTAATTGTATTGAAATTAAATCAAGGTCCACTGTGAACACAAAGAGCAAAAACCCAAGTTTCCGAACGTCGTCCACTTTGTCTTTTCCTACAAACTCTCTCCGTTCCTCTTCATCCCTGCAGCCTGGTCTGTTCTCACGGCTAACGGTTCAATCGTGCGCTTCAGTTTCTCTGCCGGTTCTGTATTTGGTCCCTATGCAGTCTGCACATCGTGTTCTTGTCCTTCAGTACAATACCACATTTCCGTACTCATCTAAAATCCCTTTCTTCTCACCTGTCCTCCTCCTTCTGCATCTGATGTGGGCTTCGCTGGTGTTAGTGCAGTCCAAACAAGAAGTCCTAATCTTGCACAATCACACACACACACACACACACACTCACGGACACTTACAAATGCACTATCGCACATCTTTCCGAGGATTCTCCCTGTGCCTGCAGGATTTAAATAGAATAATTCCCCTCTTCGATCGGCCTAGATGTGTGTTAAGGACAAAACATACATGACAATGCAACACAGTGTTTCTCATGGTCATATTTTACACACATATACACAAAAAGATCCCTTTCAAAAACATTCAGACCTCCACAATTTTAGCTGCACTCTGTACTGAATACATGTCCTGAGAAATTACAAGAGAGAGAGAGGAGATAGAGAGATAAAGAGGATCTACCTTTTGTTGTACCCATTCTGCAAGAAGCCCTGGCACCTGCCTTCTGTTTCATTCCAGCAGACCTTTTCCCTCTCTCGGCCAAACAAAGAGGACCAGCAAAGCTGTGCGTGAGGGATGAGCGAAGATGCAAAGCTATGCACTGCTCTCCCCCTCGTCCATTCAGCACGTCTACCGCCATGATGAGACGGCTGCCAGCATCACAATGTAAAGCTAGCGCTTCCCTATGACAGTCTGTTCTCTCCCTCTCTCCCCCCACCTCTCTCTCTGTCTTTTATTTCTCTCACTCTCTCTCAGCATACGCACACCTATACGGCAAGTAAAAACAAGTACGGTTAAAATCATCACATAAAATGAGTTGAAGCTGACGATGACAGTTGAAATAAATGCATAAGTTACAGAGAACATGTACATGTATTTAGGAAAATAATAATAATAATATTCCAAAACACATTAGTTACAGCCACAAGCATCAGATCACATACATCAATTACCCAGAAGCACGAAGCACTGTCTATTTCTTCAAAACTACTGACATTAAGCAGCAAATTATCTTTAGCTTCGTTCTTTTTTCCTCGCATTCTCGCTCGAGCGGAGAAAACAGAAGTGTATATCCCGGTTTTTCCCCATTCTCTTAGTTCCGTCAGTTCTCGCTATTCTCCATCCAAGGGTGAACAGGGGGTCCTGCCGAAGCTATCTACCCCAGCTGAGGCTCCTTTTCCTGGGGGCTGAAGTGTGGGATTGCAAGGGGACATGTTCTGGGGGTGGGGTGAAGGGGGTTTAGGGGAGAGGTAGGCAGGTAGGAAGGTTTTCACGCATGCAGGAAGGGAAAAACAGGTGCTGGGATGCTGCAGCCGCTTAAAAACCAAAACAACAACAACAACAACAAAAAAAGAGGAGTATTCTCCCCTGTGAGAAAATCAGCCTGAGAAAATCCAGCAGTGCGCGTCACAAAAAAAATGTAAAAAATAAAATAAAATGAAAAGCTGAGAATGCGCATATACATATATAAACACATCATATATGTATACATATCCAGAGGAAGAGGGAAGGAGCAGGTATGCAAGGGATGAGCAGTTCACACACACGGACACACACACACACTGCGCTGCGCACACGCTCGGGCTACAATTTATGCTCTCCGTTTGACACCACCCCCACCTCCCTGGGCACATACATACGCGCTCACACACGCTCACACACACACACACGTGCGTGTAACGTCCCAGCTGATCGTGGTAGAGAGATTAGATTGTGGGGACAGCTGGCAGGGATTACACACGCAGGGGGTTGACTGAGCAGGGGAGGGGAGACCCTCTCTGACCAAGATGTATACACACACACACAATAAATTGCACATAAATGCAGGAAGAAAGTGTGCAGCATCACGTTTACCTAGAAATACACTGATATCACATAAATGGCTACTATATTTGGAAATAAGGTAAACACACACTCATAAACTGAATGCAGCTGAGCACGCATCTTGACGTTGAGGGTTAATGTATGGTAATAAATACTGACTGCTAGGGGGTGGCGGGGTGACACAGTTGACCTTTGACCCTGAACCACTCCATCGTTTCAGGGTGATCAGCTGATTGCAAAAGGGGGGCCTTGGGGAGGCAACCCAATATGCTCCTCTGACACGCACGCACACGCTGAGACGATACATCATGCATGATATAACACGAGCCGCTACTTCACTAATGCGCAATATCATTGCGAATCAGCGAGACGGGAGCTTCAAATGCAAAATAAATTTTCATTTTAAATCGTTTTTTCTTCGTTCGTCTGCATCACACTTGATGGTGTTAAATCTGGAAGCGTTTCAAAGCGTGAAACCCCAGTGAACTAGCTGTACAGAAGAGATCAATACTGTTTAGTCTTGGATTTTGAACAGCGTTTGAACTATATCTGACATTTAAATCAATTCTATGCTTCAGCATTTTCTGCTGCGGAGGACTGGAAGAACATTCTGTTCTTTGAAAAAATATCATTTAAAAATGTTATGCAAAGTATGCATGGCTATGTAATAAACATTTTGACTTTTTCATGAATAGAAATAATGTGTGTTAATGTCATTCAAATATTTCATATATATGGAGTATTATAATTATTTTAAATATATTCATATAAATGTATGCATTTTTTATAATTATAAATTAATTAAGCACCACCACACAATATTTTTTAATGGAGCTAAAACGTAAAAGGGAATATTGTGGGCGAGTAAACATCTACAACTGTCTTTAAAACGGCGTGTTTGTGTGTAGCACGCTGAAAATGTCTCCTTGCTCTATTTATGTCTTTGTCAATGTGTGTACAGTATATTCCTGCATGGGATCATTATTGTATATTATTGCATTTTATGTGTGTGTACGCCCCAGGCAAATCAAACAGAAATGAAGTGTATGTAAATGGAGATTAGGGCCAGTGTGTGTGTGTTTGTGTGTGTGTGTCAGCACTAGCATAGCCTGCATTCCTCCTAGCAATAGCGTCCTCTGAGTGCACTTTAATCTGTAATCTGACAGATTAGCAAATAGGAGCGTTTGAGCTGGATTATCGCCTCATTACAAATGACGAGCATCCCAGGACCTGCTCCTTGTGTGTGTGTGTGTGTGTGTGTGTGTGTTGGCATATTCTGTATGAATTATGTCTGTGTGGTTGCGTGCTTTTGTGTGGTAAGAGCTTAATTTAAATACACTTCCATGATAGTGTGGGTGTTTCTTTAAAAGTGACATTCATCGCGTTTTGTTCACATTGTAAATGGTTAAACAAACACTACAGTTTTTCTGAACAGAATTCATCACATTTAAAATATATATTTTTTAATATTTTTTCTGTCCTATATGTAAAAAGGACCCATTTTCAGGCTTCATTAATTTTTTCAAGATTAATTTTTTTTAAATCCCAGAGTTCATATCATGTATGTCAGCATCAGATTAAAATTTCCATCAAAAAATAAATAAACAGAAACAAAGCAGCCAGATGTTCTGTTGAAGCGGTCAGTCTTTGCGCTGCATCATTTTAAAGAGGTCACATAACAGATGGGTAGCGAAAACGTCCTCACTGACGAGCCGAAATGGGACATTTACAAGATTACAAAGACTAAAGCTAAATGAGTTTAAAACCTAAACATGTAGTATTTAAGGGTGAAAGATCATTATTTTAAACTAATGCAAGCCACAGCGTACAAGTGGGAAAAAGCAGAGCGGTGCACAGTTGCACATTAAGATGTGTGTTGTGTTTTTTGTACTTTTGTGTCCTCCTGCTTTAAAGGTATATGGGTATAATGCTGAGTTGGCCATTATATGTGTGTCTCAGGAGTGTGTGTTTGCCTATGGGCTATGCACAGATGTGTATGTGAGCGAGCACTGATGCGTGTGTGTCTGTGCAGAATGCTTGGTAGGTCGTTTGGTAAATCCGGCAGCATGTGCTATTGTGTTCGCCGCTGCACTAACATGCATGCACACATATATAAAAGCATAAAATGCACAGACAAATGCAACAAAAAATACAATTTGTTGTTAAATCAACACATTAAAGGGATAGTTCACCTGAAAATGAAAATCTTGCTGCCATTTATTCACCCTCATTTTGTTTCAAACCTGTATGCCTTTCATTCTTCTTTGGAACACAAAAGAAGATATTTTAAAGATTGTTGCAACTGTTTTTCAAAAGGCATTTTTCTAAATATCTGCAAACATAAGAACAGTTTGTTGTTAAATCAACACATAGGCAACAATTTAAAGGGATAGATCACCTAAAAATAAAACTCCTGGCATCAATTATTCACCATCATGTTATTCCAAACATGTATGACATTCGT